AATTCCTGCCATACCAAAGCCCGCCAAGGATAACATCCCTGCTCCTGCTGCCGCAACCCCTCCTGCAACTCCAATGGTGCGAACGGCTGTTTTCAACGAATGTGCCATGATGAAGACCTTGCTATGGTCGAGCGAATGGGGACGAAATGAAGCAGGAGGAGAGGAGGCAGCAAGCAACATTTTAGACCTGGATCTGGTTCGATCGATGACAGTTGGGCCAGACCACCTCAAAAAGCGAAGCTCGCAATTCGCAACTGTGGCTCGTAAGCTGTCCGAGCCGCGTCAACTTCTGTGGCGTTTTACATGCTGGTAAGATGCTGTCCGAGAACACCACAACGCTTATTGATACCGGTACAGTGTGTACCGGCTACAGTACCGGTACCGGTAGAGCCGACTGACATTGGATGCAACTAGAAGAAGACACGCCAATCGACGTGCCTTGCTTTCATCCGTGTATCTCGCAAACAAGGCCACTGATTGCAACCACTCGAACACCCAGGCACAAGTCAGCTCACGCGCAGCCTCGCCAACTCCAGAACTCGCGCAGTACGAACCAAGTAGACTTATCAATGCTAGCTAGCTAGATAGTAATGGTTGTAAAGGACATGTAGATTGCTGTTGTTCGTCAAGCAAATCGAGTACATGCATGTAACTAAAACACATCTTCACTCACACGAACTGCTCAGTCGACATGCTGAACTCTTTTCCCTCTGATTTCGAAATCTCCGGATCATCAAATGAAATGCTTTCCGAAGTGGGAGCATCCACCATGTCATATTCGTCGAAGGAAACGTTCAAGTCATCATCACGAGTACCCCTGTTCTTGGAATCCGCATGCATCGTTCCGTGCCCCGACTTTTCTTGGAGAATGAAACGGAACGGGTATTTTGGACGATTAGGAGCGAGCTTGCCCGTAGAGAACCTGATCATTGTCATGACATTCCTGTGTTGTGTAACCGACTCGAACAGTTGAAAGAAAATCACTTGCAGACGAGTCCATGGGCCACAAACTGTAGTAGTCAAAGGCACGACGAAACTGCTCAGCTGTTTGAGATCCACAAACCCGCAGCCTTAGAATATCATCTGACATGCGAAAGCTGGTGATCATGAAAACACCAGTGACCGAGAAGAATGGCCGCTTCTCGGTGTCAACTTCTTTGTGCCACCCCACAATATCAATCACAGTGTTGTTGATCAACTTTGTGAGCCTAAGGTGGCCGATTCTTGGTTGACACGTGTCATCATATCCACCGGTGTATTGCCACTCAACCTTCATCAACAAACAGTCGGCTGTCACAGACCTCTTGTTGAAAACTTGCTGTCCCTTGTCCTTCTCAATCTTTCGAACCTTTCTGGTGGCGGGCGTTTTTCGGGACAAGCGCTTTCTCCTACGCACTGTCTCGGCATCCTGGCTTGCATTCATATCAGCGTCGCCAGTGCTGGGCCTTTCGTGGACAAGAGATTCGTCCCCAAACACTTCATAGGGTTGGAAGGTGATTCCTTTGCACGGAATAGAGCCACCTTCTTCATTGTTGGTGATAAGCAAGTCGTTGAATTCAACTTGTACCACCTTTTTCGTTTTCTTGCGTTTCATAATCTTCAATGGCTTGGTCAATGAGGTAACCCTGCACAATATCCTTGGTGTCAAGTCCCAGCAGTCGGGGTAGAGCATCATCAATCTCCGCAATGCAGAGCAGCGCAACCGAATTCAGGATGCCATCAATGAATGAATCGCCAGACAAGATCACAAAGAACCCACAAAATGCCACCACCACAGGTTGGTGCCGATCGAATCTTGACACCGGCTGTACCGGTAGGACCCCATACGAGGGAATTCCGGAGAGTACATCTATGAGGATCACATCCGACAAGTCAATCCCAAAGCTCAGTGTCGAAGAGGTTTCTTGGAATCTTAGCGGAATCTTAGCGCTGTCCATGTTGGCTTGAAGAAGAAGGACTGACTAACTATAACGGTAGCTAGGCTAGGTCGAAATGATCGATCAAGATGAAACTTCGAAAGCACAAACTATTTTTTAAATTTTGAGAGATTGGCTTTACTGTGGTCTCCACCACCTTGCTCCGCAATGAGGACAAACAGAAGGCTCGTTAGCTCCGGCCTTGCCACCTCCATTCCTGTTTTGATTCTTTGGATCATTGTCTCTGCCACGGTTGTCATTGCCTCCTCTTTTGTCGTCATGGCCTCCTCCATTGTCGTCATGGCCTCCTCCATTGTTCTGATGATCCTCATTCCTCAGGTGCCTATCGGCAACGACTGCTCCGGTTGCCGCGGTAGCACCTGCTCCAAACACACTGGCAATTGCGCCCGTAGCTCCTGCAGATTGTAATGTAGCAAAGGCGGATCCCGCAGCAACACTGCCTATGGATGATTGCCAAGCAGCCGCCATGGAGCCAGCTGCGATTCCTGCCATACCAAAGCCCGCCAAGGCCAAACCCCCTGCTCCTACTGCCGCAACCCCTCCTGCAATTCCAACGGTGCGAACGGCTGTTCTCAAAAAAGGATTCCCTTGGGCTCGATTTCCATCATCCTGATCATTGTTTTCTTCTCCTTCGCGGTTGTTGTCTTCTGGCTCGAGCCCACGCCCACAAAAAGAACAACGGTTGAGGACCATGATGGCGACCTAGCGATCATGGTCGAATGGAGACGAAATGAAGCAGGAGGAGAGTTGGCAGCAATCAACATTTATTTTAGACCTGGATCTGATCAATGACAGCTGGCCAGGCGACCTCAAAGGGGCAAAACTCGCAAATCGCAACTGTGGCTGGTAAACTGTCCGGGCTGCCGTCCTCTTCCGTGTCCGTGGCTGGTAAGTGCTGCCCGGGAACACAACAATGCTGGAAAGAGTGTACTAGTAGTGGGCGGTTTCCCTTTAGGTCCGGCCGGGCACGCTCTCGTTCCAGGTTCACACTTGTGGTGGAAGACCGTTCCTCTACAGAGCCGACTGACATTGGATGCAACTCGAAGATGAAAGGCAGACACCGATCGACGTGCCTTGCTTTCATCTGTATCTCGCAAAACTCCTCTTGGAGAAGGGTACGGAACGTGCAATTTTGGACGAATGGGAGCTAGCTTGCCCATAGAGAACTTTATCATTGTCACCAAATTCCTGTGTTGTGTGACCAATTGCTTCCGACACTTGAAAGCAAATCACTTGCAGACGAATCCGTAATGGATGTTGCTATCGGGGAGAGCAATGAGGACGGGAGCAGGGCAAAAGGGGGGGAAGGGGGGTGCGGAGTGACGATGATGACCTCGGTTCAAACGGAACGATCGGTAGACTAGCTAGTCGACTCAAATTAATTACATTCGATTCGATTCGATTCGATTCATTCGATTTTCCTTTTAACCCTACTGTACTGTTTGTTCAAGCATGTTTCAATTTGGGATCTTCGCCTTCGTGGCATTGGTGCTGACGAAAGCACAACGACATCAATCCCACCACCTGTCTCTCCCTTCACTCTCTTTGATGCTGACTGCTATGATGTAAGCATTGTCATACTTCATCCCCAACAAGGATGGACATTGCCCGGCTGCTATGTGTTGAAAGAGTTGACAAGAAAGGTTGAAATAGTCGAGTTCCATCCAAAGTTAGCTACCTACCAACCGTGCCGAAACAAGTCTTGAGGAGTGTACTGAGAAACCGTCGGCAACAGAATTCTTTTTTTCTTCTTCACTTCTTTACTATGAAGCGAGGATCGACAATGGCAATGCTGGTGGTCCTGTCATCTGGCGGCGCGGCCAATGCATTGGTTTCCACCAGTACGACATCCAGAACCTCCAACGTTCGGACTTTGTCTGTCCTGGGGGCTTATCCTGGTTTCCAGAACCACAATAGCGGCCAATATCCCTCTCACGATCAGCAGTACTCCTACCCGGTGCAGTATCAGCAGCAGCAGTACCAACAGCAACAGTACCAACAACAGCAGTACCAACAACAGGAGTACACCTTTGATACACAAGCCATGCTGCACATCATTCGAGAATTGGATTTCCAACTGACTCAATATCAAGAAGCCAAGTTGCATGCTCTGCAATGTCTGAACGAGTTGCTTCAGCAACTCATTGCCCTTCAGAGAGAAACCATTACAGAATACAACCAACAAGCAGCTCGAGAGATGCTTCTACAAGCCGTGGAGTACATTGAATCGATCGAGCGCGAATATCTCAATTTGAAGCAATCGCATGCCGCCACAGCGGCAGCAGCAGTGGACACACCCATGACAACAGAGGAACAGCAGGCACTGTATAACTACTATCACCATCAACCACAACAACCAGCGCAACACGACACTGCATTCCATCCGATGCAGCAACAGCAACAACAGCAAGAAGCAGAGGAAGAGTCCTTACAGCAAAAGCTATCGGCCAAAGTCCCCAACCGGGTGTACCGCTACGCACGTCCCATGAAACCCATGAGCAATCCCGGCTTGCCCAACTACATGGGGGATACCGTCTATGCCAATCTCAAGGCGGCGCAACCCATCCTGACGGCCGAATTCGAAAAGATGGTCAATTCCATTGCGAGCAATCCATCCGCCTTGATTACCCTAAAGAAAAATCAACCCGTCTTTGTGGCCGAGTACGAACAATTGCTCTACAATCTCAAACAGAATCAACCCATGCTGACCACCGAACTGACGCAAATGATTACCGATGTCAAATCCATTCTCGTGACGTTGGTGGACGGGAGCATTATTGGTGGAGGAGGTCTCTTTTGAATACTGACTTGGGAGGAGAGCAGCTCTTCCAAGAGGCGCTGATTTGGGGTAGGCGTTGAAGGGCACAGTGAATCCATTACGTCTCATACCAATCAATCAACCATCTCTTCAAGTATCTTGGAAAAACGTGGTACCACAACACCCCAGACTAATAGATTGACGCAAACTTGTGCTGCTTCCAGTTGACGACACACAGACCAATACGATCTCATCGGTATTGTGTCGTCACCCACCGGCACTGCTGCATACACGGTTTACACGACTATATGGCGTAGCCAAAGAAATGAATAAAGCAAACGGCTCTGTTCAGTGCACATCATCAATACGACCAACAAACAAACAAGTGATGCACGCAGAGCTCAGGCAGAAGAGAGCATCCTTGCCAAGAGAAATAAATACGCCCACTGAAGCCAAGGAATGCTCCGATTAACTATTAAAAAGGCAATCTTTAGCTAAACACAAGAGCTGTAGAAACAGATGTAGTGAGCGGGTCCGTCTTGTACCCGTGCCGCTCCCGCTGGAGGCAAACAAGCATTAACCAAACCTGCGTGGCGCAACTTCGACGACTGAGGTCCAGTGGCTGCCAATGCTGGGCAAAGCTAGCTACGGTAAAGGTGAATCGGTACAGACATTGACCTCCGGAGGTTTTATAGGAGGCGTTTTCATCATCTAGCTATCTAGAGTAGTTAGGATTTGACTCCAAATTGATGGGTGAATGCGGAAACAGAAAGATATGATCACCATATTAGAGCGATGAATCCCAAAAACTCGGGCCAGCAGCAGGAATCACACGAATGATGTTGGCAGCACCCGGAGTGCCAAAGGGGAACCCAGCTGTGACAATAAGAAGATCCTTGGGGTCGGACACGAGGCCCTTTCGGAGGGCAACCTCGCATGCATAGCCCAGCATATCTCGGAAATTGTCAGTGTCATACTCTCCCTCCATCGAAATCTCTGGGTAAACACCCCAGGCAAGAGCAAGTTGGCGAGATGTTTCCTTCAGGGGAGAAATTGCAAGAATGGGGACATCAGGACGCTTCTTGGAAGCTCGCTGGGCTGTGGTCCCTCCAACGGTGAAGGTGACAATGGCCTTCGCCCCAACATTCCGGGCAATACCCCTGGCTGCCATGATGATTGATGCGGCGGCGGAATTGTCGTGTCGGGGCTCGTAGGACTGAAGGTATTGTTGGTAGTGAGGGTCTCCTTCCACGCGGTTGATGATTCGTTGCTGCATCTGGACGGACTCTTCGGGATACTACGGGAGCAAAGAAATGACCGGAGGAAAGTGGTGTCATGAGTCAAAACAAGGAGTTGCCTCTTACAAAGCGTTTCCAAACACACCCAAAACATACCATTCCAGCTGCACTCTCAGCACTCAACATGATGGCATCAGCTCCATCATAAATGGCAGTGGCCGCATCACTGGTTTCGGCACGGGTTGGTGTAGGCGACTCAATCATGGACTCCAGCATTTGGGTAGCAACCACAACGGGCTTTCCCTGATCACGGCATTCGTCGATGATTTGTTTCTGAAGAATGGGAACGTCCTCCGGTGCGCATTCGACTCCAAGGTCTCCACGGGCAACCATGATTCCATCGCAGAGTTCGACAATCCTGCTCAATGAGTCATCTTCAAAGCAACTGGGTTTTTCGATTTTGGCCATGACATGGGGGGTGACGCTGGCTGCTGGGTTGTGATCCATAATCAATCGTCGAATCTCCACGATATCCTCGGGGCGTTGGACAAAGGACAAGGCGATCCAATCAATTCCTCCCAGGTTCAGCATGTAATCCAGATCAGCCCGATCCTTGGGTGTCAAACAACTAATTTCAAGAATCGAGTCAGGGGTATTCACACCCTGATGTGACAACATCATCATAGGAGAAACTTTTTGTGTCAGCAAATTTCCACACGGGGCCATCGTCATGAATCATGATTGTTGGGTGAGGACGCACGTACCTTTTTGTCCTTAATCTTGCCTTGTACTTCCACCTCGCAGTCCAGGTATCCTGGGCCTGTTCCAATCACCCTGACCTTGACTTTTCCATCATCAATCAATAGATAATGTCCAACTTCAGATGCTTCAATAATCTCCGGGTGCGGGAGCATGACACGCTGGTTGTTACCCGGGGTAGGGTCAAGGTCAAATCGAAAGACTTGTCCAGCCATCAACGTTTCACCGTCAGGGTTGGCAAACGTTCCCACTCGAAGTTTGGGTCCTTGCAAGTCTCCCAAAATTGCAATAGGATGGTCATATTTGGCTTCAACGGCTCTGATAATATCAACAAGTTCTCCCTTTTGGGCATGTTCTCCATGGCTAAAGTTGAGACGGAACACATCGGCACCCGCCAAAAATAGTTTCTCAATCATTTCAAAGGTATCAGAAGCAGGCCCCAATGTGGCCAACTGCTTCGTCTTTTTTCTCCATCGCTGAGATACCTTATCAGAAGACGGTGCTGCCGGCGGTGGAGGAGCAGTGGCAGTGTTGCCGCCTACCGAAATGGGCTGACCTGCCGCCAAAGCCTTCATTTGGGCATCGTAGGCGTCCATACCAGAGTACTGGTTCAAAGCAGTGATGGTCTTGGGCCTTTGGGAAACGCCGGTAAAACTAGTGGCAGGGGCCACAGCCAACATAAGGGCTGCAAAGGGTCCAACGAACTTCATGGTTATTTATTGCTCAATATTAGTAAAGGTATTCTACAGGGGCGATGCGGTGGAACCCAAGAAACACAAGATTGTGCGAGGTGAAATTCCAAAACTCCTCGAGATGCTCAGAGCAGTGGGATCGTTTTATGTTTTTGGATACAACAAACGTCAGTCCTCGGTATCTTGTTGACACTTGTATTCACCCTCCGGGGAAACTAAGTGCCGACGAAATTGCCTCCATCATTGCGTCTTCCTTTCTCAGATCTCTCGCACAACAAGCCAATCACAAACTTGAAAGCAATGACACGGCAGTTGTAGTACGTTGCCACAATTAATTTCAGCCCCGTTTGGATTCAATCATTCCAGTCATAAACATTTCTTGACCCTCACTTGCTCGATTAACACTGAAAAGGTTCTCACCTGTATGACATACAGTACCCCTGACAAGGTTCAACTTGCGACAAACAATAGCTTCGAGCCGGGAGCAATCCAGAGCTCAGAGGCCTTTGAGGAGCCTCTGGCTCTGCTAGCTAGAGAGTGGAGGATGCAACCTGAGGCTGTTCCCTGCCGGCAGCGTTGAGCCAGAAGATTGGCTGTTACGGTGAGATCCCAGCAGCCAAATACGTCGTGACCTGCTGCTACAGATTGCCAGACAGGAAGAATGGCCCAACAGGGAGAATGGTCATCTCATTCGAGAACCCAGGAATGATCGTTTTCACAACGTTTTTGGAATGACGTGCAAATGCTGCTTGCTAGTACGTACATCGTAGACTAGTCGAACGTTTGGAGAATATTCTCCTGTCAGCCTGTCAGGCCATTATTTGTAGACTGGGTCGTCCTTGCCTCCTCTGGCTGTTCGAACCGGAGACTTGCCTTGGGCCTGCAACCTTGAAGCCTTGAAGTGCTGTAGTGCTGTATGTATCGTCACTTACAGTATTTCCTATCTGTTTGGTCATGGTGCGCTGGTGCGGTGGCCCAGAACAAAAGAACCTGAACAACCAAAACAACCAGCTTCAACAGCAACTTTCACATTCGACTTCTGTTCTCCATCATCTGGAGCTCGCAATGATTTAGCAGACTTCGGAGAAATACCGTACGTAGGAACAAACGTCAGACTCGTCAGAGCAAATGAATTAAATAGAAACCGAAATAGAATGCCGAGTGAGTCATGAAGTGAAGGCGACAAATTGATCAATAAGTAAAATATTGAAGAAACTATATATGACGATGTTGACAATTCCCTGACGTGTACCCCCATTGAAACAGACCAAGATTGGCCAGAACAATGCAACAAAACGAAACTTTGATGTACAGCACCACAACCACACAACCACCTGGGCAACACAAGCCCACCCACGTCAATCATCACCCAACACCAATAGCTACACCAAGTATTGATCATAACTACCAGCTCTGATCCCCTCTCGCCACTGGTGAAAAATGGCAAATGCCCAAACTCTTGCCGCCATTGCAGCCAACCTGAACTGTCTCGGCGCCGCCCTATTAGAAATTGGAGATCGTTTCGGGGCCAGAGCCTCCTTTGGGCAGAGTCTGGGGATGATCACGCAGGCGACCGACTTGACGCCGGTGGGCCAACAGGTCGAAGTCCAGGCCAACTTATTCCTACCGCCGCAGTTCTATCCCCCAGAACGACACCCAGCCTTGCAAGTCACTCGCCGCATTGGCGCGAGAGCTCCTAGCCTTCCACCCGAGGGTGGGCCCTTTCTGTACAATCAACCATTGGTATTTGGCCCAAAAATCCTACTGAGTCGAGCCAATCTCCCATTCTACTCCGCAATCGTGACATTCAATGTGGCTCTCACATTTCATGTCAAGCCATCCAACACAATCGATGAGCTATCTTTAAGGCTTGCTTCGAGTCTCTACAATCTCGCTCTTTGTGTCCTTCTCGACGGGCAGAACGCCCCTTTGGGTGCGAGCCTGCCCTTTGCCGCCCTGTTGAACAACAAGGCAGAAGCCCATTTTGAGTTGGGAGAGTACGAAACTTGTAAGCTGATTCTCGAAGGACTTTGGGCGCTTTTGTTCAATCAACAGATATGGCCCCCGCTAGAAGGACCTGAACTGGATGGCTTCTTCTACAACATTTTGTGTTTGTTGAATTCCCCGCTTCATGCCCCAACGGCCTAATCTGATGCGGATGCAACTGTTCCCGGTATGGCATGCTTATGCTGACACAGATCCCACCATGCTCTGCCGGCTTCTGTACATAACTAATCTACTCTGGCTAGTGCTACCTAGATCCCCTGAACATAAAACAAAGCATAATCGAGGCACTCTTGATCTCTTCTGCTAGTCTTAGTCCTTTGGTCCTCTCCGCCCTCCTCCCTGGCCACCCTTCCCTTCTTCGGTTTTGTGGTTGATCTCACTCAGTTGTTCTGTTCGCGCTCTTGCATCCTGCCCTCCTCTGAAACCCATCCTCGCCCTAGCCCCTACTAACCCATAGCAACTTCTTCGGTCTATACAATGCATCACCATTAATCGTTGCTCTAGAAAGAAACAAAGAGCTCCAAAAAAGGCGAAGTGCTGTAGTCTGGCAGCCGACCTTGTTTCAACGCGGGGGGCGTTTTGAATGATGAATCAGAGCTGATGCGTTGTTGATCCAATAGAAACGCATCTGTCTCTGGATGAGTATCGCAGCGCTCAGGTCAACGGGGGTAGTATCGGTGGCTGGAGCCTGCTTCTATATTGTCTAAAAAGCACTAGATCTTCATTCCACAGAATGTAGAGAGATACTTTGGCTTGTCTTCTTCATGTTTCCCTGGAACGCTGCAACCTTTTCACTACAAAGGCAATCGGGTTGTGCTTTTAAAAGGTAAAAGCTAGCAAAAAGCACGTTCTTAAACGGCATTAACTTTCTCCAGCATTGCGTGCAAGTCTCCAGTTCGCTGCAGCGCTACAGTTTCCGAACCTCCACCAATGGTGCTACCGCCGAGAAAGACATTGGGTACGGTGCGTCTTCCCGTCATTCGTTCCAGCTGATCTTGAATCTGCTGTTTGTTTGCCATGAATGACAGATTGACAATGTGGAGCTTCGGACTATTCTCTGGAAGGCCTTCCAGTGCCAGTGCTTCCAATGCCCTGCGACAGTGAGGGCACCCCTGTTTGGAGAACATGACGACTGGATATTGGTTCACAAGACTTGTGATACAAGCCTCTTGCGTCAAGTCGTCGCAAGGAGCCCCATCATTATCTTGTTCCGCGTCTCCTTCCCCGGCAGGTACAATCGCTCTTGCATTGATCAGTTTGCTTTGCAAGGTTCCTTCTCGATGGAACTTGCTTGTTTCATCGCCACCGCCAATGCTTGTGCCTCCAACAAAGACATTGGGCACGGTACGTCTTCCCGTCATGGCTTGGAGTGTGCTTTGAATTTGTCGTGTCTTGTCTCCATAGGTGGATAGATCCACAACGTGTAAATTGTGACTGCCCTCCGGTAACCCTTCTGCAGCCAACGCTTCCAAAGCCTTTCTGCAGTAGGGACACCAAGGTTTGGAGAACACAACGACTGGATACAGATTGACAAGTTTCGTAATGCAATCTTGTTGGGTCAAGTCGTCACAAGGTGCTACAGCAGCTTGTTCTTTCTGTTTGTCCATCATCATCATGGACGACAAATCATCATCCTTGGCTATAGCAGCAACAATGTTATCATCGGGTACCAGTACATTTTGTAAAGGAAGGGGAGGTGATGATGCGGAGGACGAGGATGCGTGAAGTCCCGCTGGCAAAGGTCGATCTCGCAACCACCGCTCGGCATCCATGGCAGCCTGGGCACCTTCCGCGGCCGCTGTAATGGCTTGTCGATAAATTTGATCAGTCACTTCGCCAGCGGCAAAGATTCCTGGAGTGGTTGTGGCAGTTCGCGTCTCTGCCTCCGAGGACTGGGAAAGAACCAAGAATCCCTCGGATGTCATTTGAGGTCCTGCATTGTTGGTTAACCATTGTGTGTTGGGAGTTGATCCAATCAACTCAAACACACCATCACAGGCAATCCGTTGTGTTTCGCCGGATTCGACATCGCGTAGATCCACTGCTGCGAGCATTTCTTGTTTTTGCTTTTGCTGATGCCCCCCCATGACAGCTTGAAAGGTTTCTAGCTTTTGCACCACATAGGGAACTTCCACTCGAATGTTGGGTGTGGTACGCAATAGTTCCACATTTCGCTGATTGCTGGCTCGTAATTGGGTCCTTCGATGTACCAGAATGACTTGTTTGGCATATCGCGACAACAAGAGTGCGCCATCGACGGCAGCATCACCTCCACCCACCACAATGACGGTCCTATCCACATAGGAACTCCCATCACAAATGGCACAACTATGAACCGATTTTCCCCAGAGTTCCTCTTCCAGTGGCAATCCCAGACGCCGCGCCGTGGCCCCGGTTGCCACAATGACGGTTCTTGAATGCACTTGCAGTGGTTGAGGACTCCCCAAGTTCATGGTGAACGTGGTCAACAATGACGACTCTTGTTGCTGCTGTTGTTGTATTTCCAGCTTGTCCACCAACAATCCCGCCTGTGCAAAGTTGGCTCCCCATTGTGCGGCTTGTTGTTTGGTTTGTTCCAGCCATTGGGTTCCCTTATTATTGTTATTGGCAAGTACAAAACTGGGAAAGTTTTCCAATCGATCCGTTTCCGAGAGTAAGGAACCACCGTCACTGCCCAAGACCAAGACGGATAGTCCCGCTCGAGCGGCAAACAATGCGGCTGTCAATCCGGCTGGTCCCGTCCCAAGTACGGCGACATCATAGAATCCTTGTCGAGGAGGTTGGGGTGGCAACATGGGTGTAGCCGCCTTATGTGGGTGGGGGTTTGAAAATCGAAATTTGGGAGGTACCTTTTCCAAAATGGTCCGATGAATGGCCTCGTGAAGATGGGAAATGGCCGGTGGAGCTTGCGGATGATCTCCGTGTTGGGCAATCACATAGGTACAGACAGTACAGGTGGTGATCAGTAGCCAGAAACAAACAGAGGAACAGCACCATCTTAGGAGATTCGATATTCTTTGTGGAACTAACGAGGCGGATGACAAGTGTCGCCCCAGTTTGCTGGGTGAAGAAGACGCTGTCTTGGGACGACGGCGTAAGGTGGCAGCGCCATTGTTAGTGGTGGTACTGGTAGCATCGTGATGGCCATTGATGTAGTAGGATGGCAAACTGCCGTTGCTGTGATTGGGAGAATTCTTGCGATTGGAACGTAACATTGTGCCGTACAGTACAGTAACTCCTTTCCTTGGCTCTGGCTTGGATTGATTTGATCGCCTGATTGCCTTCCAGAGTTCGGGAGAGATATGTTATGGAAGGACCAGTGGTACCAGTGACTTGAGTTGACGTAGTGTTGGTGTGTTTTCTCTCATGCCTCGCTCATTGCTGGCTAGATTCGAGTGTTGACTGGGTGGATGCAATGCGGTTGGCTTATTTTTTGGTGATGAAACGGTCATTTTGCTAGTGTTAGAGGTACTTATTCGTTTAGGGCTTGAGTTAGCATTCCTGACCGATGCGGGGTACAGGCAGCTTCGCTTTTACTGATTCAAACGCGCGCCAAGCTTCTCTGTACACTTCTACAGGACCTTTCGTAGAAGTGTACCAGAAAGAGCGGCACGCGTTTGAATCAATAAAATCGAAGCTGCTCGTACGGTACGGGGCTCTCAGCACGGTACCAGGTACATCGTACCAGGTACCGGTACCGGTACCAGCCAGTACAGTACTAGTAGGCTTGCCGTCCAATAATGGGCAAAAATTCTGCATCTACATGTAGTAAAGCTACGGTAGCTAGCTAGAGGCACAAACCTCAGCGGAAAAACTCTGCACCTCTACCGGTATAGGGAACGCACCTCTGAGGCAAAATTCTGCACCTCTATGGTCCGCACCCATGGGGCAAAAACTCTGCACCTCTAAGGTGCCCACCTCCGGGTTAAAAACTCTGCACCACCTCTAGGGCCCGCACCTCCGTGGCAAATTATCTGCACCTCTAGGGCCCGCTCGTCGGTGGCAGAATTCTGCACCTCTACTAGGGCGCACCCTTGGGGTTAAAAAAAATCCACATTGGCAGCAAAACTCTGCAAGTAGTATCAGGGTACGTACTGATGGCTTCGGTACTAGAATAGCTTTCCTGTTGCTTGTCAAAAAAGTGAGGCGACCTGTAAGGCCTACATTGACAATAGGAGAGGGATTTCATTCAGCAAGGAATGGAACGCCACAGCAAGCTAAAGGAAAGGACAGAGTGAGTCGAGTCGAGTCGAGTCGAGTCGAGTCTTCTGGATATTGGCTGGTATGATAGTACCGGTGCCCATACAGCTGAGGAACTGAGGTGCGGCGGGTCGAATAGAGATAAATGATGATACCTTGCAAGAAACTCAGTTCGCCATGATCCCTTCATTGACATAAATACTCAGCCACCTGAACCTGGTACCGGTACCACAAACCACATGCCTCGTAATACAGTACCAGCACGCACCGTACCGGTACCGCTCGAGCTCGAAGATTGGCAGCAAACAAATAATGAGAAAGGCTTTTTTTTCCAGTGACAAACCAAGACTCAATGGGTTTGGTGGAAGGTGGAAGGGAAAGAGTTAATGATACCCATTAATAAGGGTGCATTGAGTCACTTCTACAGTACACAAGGTCATATGTCACAGTGACTGAGTTCGCCTCTCTTTTGCCATAAATCCCGACCTTGCAGCCTTGCGGGACTCTTTTCGTCACAGAGACAGCAACTAACTTGGCACCAGGCTTGGTCGGTAATTACTGCAGTAATTCCTGGTTACTGATTACTTACTGTACTTTTACTGCCTTTATTGGCCAGTAGTTACTGCAGTCAGTAATTCCTGGCAGTAATAAATCTGCCAATTCAACAGTAATTGACAGTAAATGACAGTAAAAGCACAGTATTCTCCCTATTTTACTGCAATTACTGTGATTTAGTGCCTTCAAATGGCTTTAAATTACTGTACCTGATTACTGCTACTGAGGAATTACTGCATTACTGCCATTACTGCTACTGTTTGGCCCCTCCAGTCAGTAATCAGTAAACAGTAAATACCAACCAAGGCACCAGGTAACAACCAAACCGCGAGAGGAAGTAAGTAATAACACGAAGCACCTCATGCATGCAACCCCACCGGTCCAAGCAACTTGTGTGTTATTACATACATGTAGTGTAGCTGTGGTACGATACGCTTGTGTATTGGAATAGAGAAAGAGCTCGAGCTAGCTAGCTAGCAGAGGGTGTCAGCGCAGGGGACGGATTCCTTTATCAATCCATCCTTCCATCAGATACCATACCCTGCCCCCGGATACCGCAAGACTTCAGTAGAGTCGAACCTGGAACGACCGAATCAACAGACAAAGGGCACTGCGTCCCTGCTAATCAAGTTATCCATCTTCCTTAATTAGTGTCAGTCGAGACGATGATAATGCTACGGAAACGGCGGAGAAACGATGAGATGAACATCAGGAATTGTTGCTGTGTTTCTTCCAGTGGCATGGAAGAGCCGGCTTCCACATTATTGACAAGGCACATCATGGGAGAGCCAGAATCAACCCCCTTATCACCACCGCAATTAGCACCACAAAAGAGACACAGGATCTCTTCCAAGGCCTTCTTTTGGCCGCGACAGTCCCTCCTGCTAGTTCTTTTAGTGTTAGCAGGATCGTTCCCGTCGGGAAGCAGGGCACAAAACCCAGACAATCCACTTGGTCTTAGCATTTACGAAGCACCCCACGAAGAGGAAGATCCACAGCCACCACTGCCGCCGCCAGAGTCCAGGAATTTCACAGTTACCGGCGTTGATCCGAATAAAACCGAGACGACTGAAGCCACTACAGCTCCCCCTAATGCAACCACCTCTACTACTAATTCAACCACTGTTGATGCAGATGAAACCGAGACAACTCAAGCTGATATACCCACGACAACCACCTCTACTACCAGTACTACTGCAACCACTATTGATGCGAATAGAACTGAGACGACTCAGACTGACATTCCCACTTCTGCTCCCACTACAACCACCACTATTGTTGCGAATATAACCGAGACGACGCAAGCTGACATATCCACTACCACCACCACTGCAACCATCAATTCTACTACTACTTCAACCACAATTGATGCGGATGAAACCGAGACGACTCAAGCTGATACCCCCACGACAACCGCCACCTCTTCTTCGTCTACTACTACTACCACTTCAACAGCTACAACCAACACTCTCGTCTTTGCCGTCATGCCCAAGACGACCGACAATCCGTACTTTGAATTGGTCGAAACGGGGTGTAAGAGTCAAGCCGACCGCATGACCAGACAACTCGTCAATACGACCGTCATTTGCGAATACGTCGGACCCACCAGTCAAGACAGTAAAAACAACAAAACCGCTGAGGTTCAAATCGAATTTGTGCTCGATCTATTACAAAATGATACCATTGCTGGAATTGCCATTTCAGTAGAAAATGAAACCTCGCTGTTGCCCGTGTTGGAATTACAGCGCAATACGACGGACTACTACAACAACAAACCCATTGTGACGTTTGACAGCGACTTGACCAAGGCAACTCATCTCCGATGGGCTTATGTCGGCACCAACAATACGTTTTTTGGAAAGGAACTCGCCCGCGCCATGCTCCAATTGCATCCCACCGTGGGGACCTTTGCTGTTTTGCATTCGGGATTCTCGCCCAATATGATTGAACGACTCGATGGTTTCATCAACGAACTGGAAGCCCGACAACCCGGTTGGGAACAAGTCGCCGGCAGTCCCGGAGATGCCCAAGGCAATTTAGATATCGCCTTGGCCGTGTTGGATGGCTTGGCACGTCAAGATCCCGATTGCATCGTGTCCCTCATGGGTTTGCCCATGCGAATCGTCACCAATGAAACCGACGGGACGCAATCCATTCCTTGGCAAGCATTTTACGATGAACATTACGAACGCGGCATTACCTTTCTATCGGGTGATTCCATGTCCCATCAACTTGATTTGTTGGCATCCGGATATGTCCAGGCGTTGATTGGACAATTGCCGTGGGAAATGGGCGCCATGAGTATTGAAATTCTCTACAATATCAGTCAGACGGGTTCTATTGAAGGAACGGCAACACAGCAACAAAGTAGTGGAATCATTGTCACATCCAGTCAACAACAACAGGGACAGGTCGTGACGAGCAACAATGGACATGGCATGGTGACGGTGGAAGAGGAAGACCCGACATTCTTTGGAACCAACGTGCTTAGTCACATTCTCATTCCACTGGAAATTCCAGAAGCAGATGTCCCCGGCAATCTTATTGGAAATTTGAGCTACGTGGGATACTCCTGTTTCGGGATTATCCTTTTCACGGCCTACCTGCTCTTGCATTGGACCATCAATTATCGCAATGTGCGTGTTGTGCAAGTGGCTCAGCCCAAATTCCTCGCCATGGTGGTCGTGGGTGTGGCTCTTATGGGGGCGTGCTTGGTACCGCTCAGTATGGACGATGGCGGGGATCCCGACAATCTCAGTAGCGGAGAGAAAGTTTGGATCTGCATGAGCGTCCCCTGGTTGGCCAGCGTGGGTTTCACCATGACATTTAGCGCACTCTATGCCAAGACGAGACGAATCAACAAGATTTTTCATTCCAATTCTGCATTTGCTCGTGTCAAAGTCTCGGAACAAGAGGTGTTGTTGCCCTTCACCGTCCTCTTGTTGATCAATTTGGCCCTCTTGTCCGCATGGACTTATATGGATCCATTGACGTACACTCGGAATTTAGAGCTGGGCAGCGATGGCTGGACCCGAGTGGTGTCGACCTACGGGACATGTCAGAGCGATTACGTCGAGCGATATCTCATCCCGATTGCCTGTCTCAATTTTGGTTGCTTGATCATGGCCAACTGGCAAGCCTTTGAGGCCCGTCACATTGAAGCGGAATTCTCAGGTGCGTGGAGGAATTTGTGTTTTACGCCCATTTTGTAGGCAGCATGCCGCTTACCTATCGTCTTTCCTTTCGTTCTCCAGAAACAAAGTATATTGGAGTCTGCATGGCTAGCATGTTGCAGGCGGCCATCAGTGGGGTCCCAGTCCTCTTTGTCGTCAAGGACAATCCACAGGCATTCTACTTGGTACTTGTCTTTATGATTTTCGTCATTGGAATGGTCATCATGTTGGTTATCTTTGTGCCGAAAATCCTGTTTGCCAGATTATTCCTGTCCAAAACGGAGGGGGAACAGCGTGACTTTATCAGCTTCATCATCCAACAATCCGGTCGAGCGCGACACAATAGGTTTGCCAAGGCACAGGCTAGTCAGGTAGGCCAGTTTCCGAACTACCAAGCCAGCATTATGGAAAGCCGATGGTCGGAAGCGCCTAATTTCGCCAGCGAAGCACATAATTCCGTGTATAACGGCGGGGTGTCTCAAGTGGGTGTGTCATCAGATAACGTCTCTTCGCTTTCCGGAGGGAGAAGCTCAGAGTTCGCCGCAACAGCACCAACGATGGGGGCAATGCGAATGTCGAATATTGCGGAGGGCAGCGAACATCCAACAGCTTACGAACCAGGTGAATCGTCTCATCATTCCGACACAGAGAGCTTTTTCGTGTCCGGGCACAGCGGCGACACACCTTTGACCGGTGTAAGTATGCGCAGTCTGATGACTCGGAGCACCCACCAAAGCAAGGTTGGCACGAGCAGGAGGAATCTTACGAGACGACCAAGCAACCAATATCATGGATTGAGCATGCGAAGCCTTGGTCTCGGACGCAGACCGAGTTCTCACCACCCCATGGGATTGGGGGGCGAGTCCCACCACAGCCCGATGGGTCTTGACTTAGACGACGGGGAAGACGGAATGCTTGTTTATCGAACAATGACAGTCGCCCCAGACGGATCTGTTCACACTCGTCACAGCCATATGGTTTATGACTTTCTCGACGATGACGCCGCCAGCTTCTACAGTTATGGCGGCGACGCAAGCACCCGCAGTTTCGGTGTAGGTGTTGGAAGGAGCGCGGGAAGCCTTCCTGGACTGAGTGGGAGAAGCATTGGACTCAGTGGCCATACCGTCAGTACCGGAATCAGCGCCCGTACCCTAGGTGGAGGGACGCTGGGCGGGGATTCCAGCCACGGCAGTCAACATAATAGAACCGCACATACTCCTGCCAACGGTACTTCCCCGGCGGCAGATTGCAATCGCAAAACAAAACAAGGAGCGCCAACGAGGTTGCTGAATGCGATCAAAAGGAGTCCAAGAAGACTCAATTCATCGGACCATACGCAGGTTTCAGGTTTACACAGTGGACAGCCTCAGCCAAGGCGGAAGACACCGCGCAGAGTGGCATCTGATGGCGGTCGAAACAGGCAGGGCAAATTGCCTTCGATGATTATGAAGGCAATCAAGGAGAGAAGGAACGAGGACAGCGAATCTAGCGAGCGAAGCCTTGAATCTTTGCAACTTACCAGGAAAAGTGTGAGTTCCCACGCTCGCCTGAGTAGGGTCTCGGCGGAGATGCAAGAACTCAATGCCATACCAGAGGTTGGCGGTGTTGCATCAGACAGCGGTAGTGAAAGCTTCAAAAGTGCCTGTATGTTCGATGAAACGGATCATGAAGGAGTGGAACCGTTTTTTAGCTCAGAGGCACAGTCCAATGGGGGTTATGATGACGATCGGACGATGGACGACAGCCAGAACTCGTTTGCCATTGATGGCAGCGACAACGACGTTGAGAGGGCGCCTACGCTTCGAAAAGGTTCGAGGTGATAGGTTGTTGGTGGCTCAACAATCTCGGAGGAGTCGAGTCTACGATGCTGATTAAAACAATTCTGAGTTTGGACGCTAGCAGAGGCAGTCTCTCGGGGGCGAGATCATGCAATGGATCATGTTTCTCTCGTTAAATCGGGCAAATGTGCCTTTTGGTGAGCTGGCGGAATGAGGCAAGAAAGTGATGGGGTCATAGTGTAGTCCTTTTATTAGAAGAGAAGTTGTACAGTAACTATCGATAGTGCCATCTTCCTTCTTGTGGTTGGTTGGATTGGATGTTTTGGATGTCGAGTTGAACTAAGACAGCTAACCTGGTACAGATGCGGATACCCACCATTGCCATGCCTAGCTACACGTAGCTAGAAACGCTAGGATGCTGTCAACCCAGGTATCGACCGTGGCCTGAGTTCAATTCATCCACGCCACGGTTTCCTTCCTCGCTGTGGATTGACTCGACTAACAGTTAGTTGGTCAAGCTCTCGAGTTCTCGAAAATAGTTTGCAGTGACGTCAGCGAGGCTTCACAAAAGATCCTCCTTTTTGCTGGATCCGTCTGCTGCCGATGCCTTCGCAACCGCAAATCAATCATCAAGCACAGGAACTGTCACTGCCATTATTTCAACACCATAGCAACCCCCAATAGTTGAATAGAATAAACCATGAGGCAGTTTTCTCTTTTGAATCTTTTGCTCTTGTTGTCGGCAGCTTCTTTGGTAGCATCCAAACATGCTACCTCTGCTGGTTGGCTGAAACCTTCCTCCCCAATCCATCAGTTGGATGAATCTACACAGAGGGCCATTTTTGCCGTCAGTGGAGGGGCTGCCAAAGCAACACCCAAAAAGGCCAAGAAGTCTGGCGGCAAAGCTCCTGCCATTTCCAATCCAGATGGAGCTTCCATCCCCAATGAAATCTTTAATCTTGTCAAGGCAATTGTAGGAGTCGGCGTCCTTTCGTTACCCGCTGGAATTGCGGCCTTTGCCGATAACAAAAGTGCCTTTTTACCGGCCGCCATTATGATTGGGGTGATTGGAGTCCTCAGTGGTTATGGCTTTGCCATTATTGGAAAAGTATGTGCCTATACTGGTGCCACAAGCTACAGAGAGGCTTGGGCCGAGTCGATTGGACCCAAGACATCTTGGATCCCTGCCTGGTCTGCTACGCTCAAAACATCTTTGGCGTGCTTGGCCTTTAGTATGGTCCTTGGGGATACCTTCGCCACCTTGCTGAAGCAACCCAGAACTCCCACGTTGATTGGAGTGACCTGTTTGGTACTTTTGCCTCTCTGTCTCATGAAGAACCTCAAGTCCTTGGCTCCTTTCTCCTTGTTGGGTGTCATGGGAATGGCCTACACAGCATTGGCCATGACAGTACGTTGGTTGGATGGTAGCTACGCCATGACACAAGGAGCCGAAGGCATGGTAGCTTCCGGAAATCTTGTGGCAGATGTGGCCGAGAATCTTAGGCCCAAATTTGGCTCGGTGGGGGGTTTTGAGAGTGTCTTGAACCCATCATCGTTGATTCTCCTATGCATGCTCAGCACAGCTTACATGGTACGATTAAGTAAATTTGCCAAGAATTATATCCTTTTGTTGTGGAAACTGACGCTGATCTTTTCTTTTCTGTCCTCCTGTTCTTCTATAGGCTCACTTCAACGCTCCCAAGGTAAGAAGAACAAGCGACCAATTATTGACATCGGGATACTACATGTGCCATCTCAAAACTTGTCGAACCGCATATTCAATCTACCAAACCTTTATAGTTTTATTTGGAGCTGAAAGACAACACTATTCCCCGCTTCAATACTGTTGTCAGTTGGAGTTTTGGAATTTCCATCCTCTTGATGGGATACATCACCATGACTGGTTTCCTGACGTTTGGTAAGAGCAGTCAAGGATTCATCTTGAGCAACTATTCCGTAAACGATCTTTGGATCTCGGGGAGTCGCATCGCCGTGGCGATTTCCTTGGTGTTCTCTTATCCACTCGCCTTTGTGGGGATGCGAGATGGTATCGTCGATCTTGTCAATGTCCCGACGGAGAAACGAACCAACTCTTTCTTGAATGGCTTGACTGTCGCCATGTTGACCACGTTGACCGCCCTGGCTTGTGTGTTGACGGATGTGAGCTTTGTTTTGTCTTTTGGTGGGGCCACCTTGGGCAATGCATTGACCTATCTATATCCAGCCTTGATGTACGCTGCCATCAATAAGAAACAAGGACGCAAGGAAGACTTGGCAGTTCTCATTGCACAGGCTTCCGCCGTGTTGGGAGTTGTCATGGGGGCGATCGGCGCGAACATGGCATTGAAAATGTTGAAGAACTAAGTCCTTGTGCTGTTTAGCTAGATTGGTGTTCCACGGGTACTTCTGCCATCCATGGAGCTAAACCACGCGTTGACCTCACGACGGTGCAAATACAAGCCACGGTAACTCTATTCAATGCATGCAATATTCAAGGTCTTGTGGCTGTGATTGTGGTGTTGGAATGCACCAATTCAGACAGAGATTCACGAACCAGAATTGTGGCACAATAGAATCAATGATGGGAGCGTAGATAGAGTCGCTTAGTCAACCTGGGTCCGAAGATGCATGGTCTCCGTTAAACAGCTATTGTTCAGAAGCGCCTGAGCTGATGTAAATACAGCAGCAGCTGTAATAAGATTGAAAGGGATCGGGATAGATCTCCATGGCACACCGTGGAAAAACAAAGTGAACATACCGGTACAGGTACCTGGTACATGTTAGGTTACCACGGTTCCTTTGGAACCATTGCATCCCCTCAAAAACACAGACAACAATGAAACCCCCTATACTCTCTTCTTTCCACACAGCATCATTCATGCTATCGTGCCACAAATCACAGTCAAATCAAGAAAGCAGTGATGAAACAGACACCAGCATGGACAAACCACAGCAAAGTCAGTCATGACACAACACACACAAAGAAAAATTCCCATACACAGCATTGGAGTTAATCATCCCTACTAGGTACAATGATAGGTACTAACAGGCAGGGTGGCGGGATGTCACTTTAGAATATATAACAACCAAAACTCCTTTCAAATTTACACAAACAAAACCTTCCACTCATCCACAACACTGGCAGAGTTACCTTAGTCTACTTCCATCAAAGGCAACAGACGTTTTTAAGAAGCTGGAACCGTGGTTCCTTGAGCTCAATCTATGATACTTCTCCTTCATCGTTCCAAACTGTACAAGACGTGAGAGGAATTCCTACTGAGAGCTCCAGGCGATGGGAATCGAATCTCGAGGATTTCCGGGAATAAAGGGATTCCTCTCCTTGTGGTAACGTACTAGTACGGCAGTACAGCGTACATCTTCCGATCTGGTTCTGGGGAATCCTTGAGCCTCTCGGATTTCCGGGAATAAGGATTCCTCCAAGGATATGATGGCGAACACAGTGGAAACAAGCAGAGCTTTGGTGGATAAAGCACACTTCCCAAAGGGATGCCAGCTGGTCAACCTGTTCCTACTTCTCCTTCATTGTCCCAAAGTGAGAGATTGCAATGTGGAAGTTCTTTCTACTACATGTGTAGAGCTAGCTAGCTAGAAGTGTACAATCTTTGCCTGTCAAACTCTGGCCGGAACAAGAGAGGGAGAGCTACCACTTACAAAAACTGTATTTTGGATTAATGGTGTCAGAACCACTGAAACTTCTTGCAAGAGAATCCCCTAATGCTGCATTGGCCACTGACTTTTGAGTTTGTGACTATTAAATCTTTTACAACTACAGTGTCCCAGCTGGCAGCATTCATCATCTCAGAGTGCTGACACTTACTGTACCTAATAACTGCAGTAGCCGGGACTTTATGGTGCGCGGCAACCGAAGGCATCAAGAATCAAGCAAGCTCCAACTGAAACTGTGGCCTGTCACAGTGCGTGACCGTAAAAGTGAACAGCGGTTCTGGTACCGCTGTCGGAGGAACAGAGGATTTGATCCCAAGATCCTTGGTCGTCACTTCAATTCTACGCCGGCCAGCTTCGAGCCCAAAAACTTCCTCCTTGTCCTACAGAAGCTCATTTTTCTTTTTGGCGTCAACCAAAAAGTAGTCACCTGCTTCCAACTTTCCAAATAATAATCACTCACCACCCTGTCGAACCAAGAATCTTTAAGTTGATAAAGAACCTCAGCCAGCATCAAGATGCTTATCATCAAGCTATTGGGAGCCTTGTTGCTCCTTGCGTCTACCTCTCAAGGTTTTGATTACACGCTCTCATCAGATTCTGCTTTCGAGATTTCCACCACCGACGTTGCTACCGATATTGGAGATTTGAAGGTTCTTTTCAATGGCGACTCTGTGTATGTGCATGTGTCTGGATTGGAATGGGTTGAAACGGACAATAATGACACGGAAGCCGTGCTTTTCTACGAAACATCTGTGGACGGGAAAGTCAGCAGTATTGGAAGCTACGACTTGAACACATTTGGTCGACAACTGCCCGATAAGCTCGATGTTGGCAATCTGACTGTGACCAATTCTGGAGCTCATACCGTTGTGGTCCGGCTTTTTGCCCCCAATAACTTTGACTTGACCACGGAACGCACCTATCAGAGCTATGCAGCTGGAGTTTCCATCATTCCCTTGATTGTCGTCTTGGTTCTGGCCATGGGCACGCAAATGGTCGAATTTTCCTTGTTTGTCACTATCTTTATTGGAGCGTGCATGGTAAGTCTCCTGAAAAACTCAAACGAAGGTTCTGAATAATCAAGGTGGACATAGGTGGAGGTCTCACCTTTCTTTTGATCCGTCCTTACCTAACCCCGCACAGGTCACTGGAGGAATCAAGGAAGGCTTTCAGACCACTTTGGATACCTACATCCTCATGAATCTCGGTATGTAACAACCAAACGCAAGGAACAACCATTCTTTAGAGTGACAATGATCTCACTAGATTCTGCTCTACTCTTTTCCACAACAGCTGATGTCGATCATGCCTACGTCTACCTCTTCAGTTTGTTCTTGTCGGGTCTTGTCTCCATGATGCAAAAATCTGGTGGTATGATTGGATTTACGCAATGGGTAGCACAGTATGCCAAGACTCCCAGAGCGGCACAAGTCTCCATCTTTTGTGTCACCCTGCTCTGTTTCTTTGATGACTACACAAATTTGCTCCTCACGGGTCAATCCATGTCTTCGCTCAGTGATCTCATGATGGTATCCAAGGAAAAATTCACCTTCCTCGTGGATGCTACCGCCGCTCCTTTGGCCTCCTTGACCCCTGTCAGTTCCTGGGTCGGGTTTGAAGTGAACTTGATCCAGACGGAACTCACCAAGCTTATTGAAATTTATGGCGAAGAAAACTTGACCGTCTCCACATCGGCAATCCAGGTCTTCCTTCAGAGTATCAAGTACCGATACTACCCCATTTTCATGCTTTTCCTCATTCCAACCCTTCTTGTCCTTCAACGCGACTTTGGGCCCATGCTGTTGGCGGAACGACGCGTCCGCGTCCATGAACGTACTGATGGAGGAAAGGGTCACATCGAGAGAGCCGAGGGAGATGAGGGCATGAAGACTGAGAATGATCCAAGAACCGACATTCCTTACAGGGTACGTAATGCAGTCGAAATGAGCGAGAACACTGTCATGCTACCTTCTCACCAATTCGTTTCAAAATCCCGCATACGTTCAACTTGTGATTCAAGACATTCAACATGCTGGTGCCTGTCCTGCTGCTCATCTTTTTCATTTTCTTCCTTATGATACGTACGGGAGATGACGGTTCTGGCAGTCAAAGCTTTACTGAAAAGATTGAAAGCAGTGACTCCTTCAGTGCCTTGCTTTGGGGAACCATGGCCACAGCCATTATCACGGGTCTCATGTACGCGCTGCAGATTGTTCAAAATGGTCACTATGTGCTGCCCACGCTTCCTGTCCTCAAGAGTTGCTTGTGCGGTGTGAGTGAGACAGAAGTCGTTGTAGAAGAAGACAATCTTGAAAAGCCAAGCGCGGATGGAGACGTTGGAGAAGACGAAGGCGAGGAAATGTACAAGGGAGAAAGTTTAGCGCTGTTGCCTGAAATGGGCCGAGCTCGCAGCCTGATGTCCATCTACGAGAGTGTTGAAAGTTTCTTGTTTGGAATGAATCGCCTCTTCCCCGCCTTGATTGTGCTCACTCTCGCCTGGGCCACCGGAGACATCAGTAAGTTTTTTGTTCAAACTGGTCGTTGCCGTTATTTGTGCAATTCTTGTTGTGGCTCACCTACCTGTTGGTTGTTTTCGCTTATTCAAAAGTGACAACTGTGGGAGCGGACAGGTAAATACATGACAAAGCCATGGGTTGCTACATTGTTAAGTTTACGTACCCATCGGTTTCTGACAAATAAACCATCACTTGTTTTCGTCAACTAACTGTGGGTGCGGACAGGTTGTTTTCCTCTGTTATTACAGACAGCGTTGCCCCGGAAGCCATGCCAACACTTGCCTTCGTCATCGCTGTCATCATGGCTTTGGCTACCGGAAGTTCCTGGAGTACCATGACAATCTTGTTCCCACTCATTATGGTCCCAACCTACCGCGTGGCTGAGGGAGATGAACTTATCTTTTATGCCACAGTTGCAGGCGTTTTGTCGGGTTCAGTTGCCGGTGATCACATGAGCCCCATCTCTGATACTACGGTCATCTCTGCAATGAGTTGTGGATGCAAGTTGCTCAACCACGTGGTCACCCAGGCTCCCTATTCCACTGTGATTGTTATTTTCTGTATTCTGTTTGGTACTGTAAGTTATCGTTGCAGAGCCCTGCTTGATTGCTTTCTTGGGGCCTTTGCGTCTCACGTAGCACCAACAACTGAAACTTCTTGCCCGGAATATCTCATGATGGTAAAAGATCCCCATTGGAAGGAACGCCATGCCCAACATTGTGGGTATCTTGCTGGCTCTAGTTGCCATCATCTTGTGGGTCTTCTTCGTGGGTGCTCCCATTGTCAGTCCAACCGGCAGGTATGATATTCTGACGGAGTTGTTCCTAAAGTGCAGACCAAATCCCGGGTTGCAGGAACTCCGTGAAGAGACTATCAAATACCACGAAGACAAGTTTGGTGGTGACATGGATATGGGTGACGGCGACGAACCCGAGCAGGAGGGCAAGGGTGAAGGAAATGATGCCCCAGAGGAGCAAGAGGAGGAGCCCAACAAGGAAGAAGAAGACGATCCAGAGAAAGAAGAAGTTCCTATGGACGATAATTCCCTCAAGAATTCCCACTTGACCACGGTGTCAGCTTAGAGGATGGAATTGCCTCTGTATGTGTTGCATTTGTTTTACCAACTTTATATCAAGCCAAGGGCGGAATGGCTTTCATTTGTTTCAGTTTTGATACCTGGGTTTCCAGCCCTCCTGAAGTTCGGAGGAGTGGTTTTGGAGAGGGACTTGGTGTGTCTTCCTCTTCTAGACTTCTGTGTTGATGTACTAGTTTGTCCAGTATTAAGTACACCCAACAATCTGACGGGCTAAGTACCATACCGGTACTAGTCTTTGTTCGCCTGCTGTAGGTTTCTTGTATTGAAGGAAACCGTCTCTAGTAGACTAGCTTCCCAACGAAACTGTGCATTTTCTGACTTCATTCTGGTCCGGTAAAAAAAAAACTGTAGCCAGACAGAATGGTTGGGTTGACCATGCACGAGGACTTGGACTACATTTATTGTTGATGACCATATTGACTTCATGCTCTGATGCCACAGTATACAGCAACAGCAGCATCTTTTCATCATTTACCCCACAGACGATTTGGCGGCCATGAAGGCACCCATGGAACCTAATACAACTACCAATGCAGCATTTGGCCACTGCGGGCGGGGATTGTCTCTTCTCCCCAATCATTAGAGACAGCGTTGCCCCGGAAGCCATGCCAACACTTGCGTTCATCATAGTCGTCATCATGGCTTTGGCTACCAGAATTTCTTGGAGTACCATGACAATCTTGCCACTCACTATGGTCCCAACCTAAGGTGTGGGACAAACTTATCTTTACCTCGGCAGGTTAACTGCCTGAGTCCTCTACCCCTTTAATGGCAAAAATTCTGTCTGTGGGATCCCCCTGGTTTTTGTCTGTGGGATCCCCTTGTTTTGTGTCTGTGGGATCCCCTATTCCGGTGAAGCCAGGGTATAAGGATAGAGATAATGTAAGCTGGCAAAACTGGAAATTGAAGGTTCAATAAAAGTTAGGGGTAGGAATATATCAATGTAATTTAAGGTTAGTGCACTCAGGACAAAAACACAATAAGCCAGCAGGTGTTGTAAATTTAGAGTTACACGATCGAATGATAGCTGTAAATTATGGGTTGGCCCATGGCTACATCAATGCTAGCTTAATCTAAAACAGAAGGTTACAATGAGGGAATGATAGTGGGCGGCAACACACGACGAAGTCGGGTGTTGTCGCCAGGGCTAGCAAACATAAAAAAGAAGGTTATAATGAGGGAATAATACTGGGCGGCAACACACGACGAAGTCGGGTGTTGTCGCCAGGGCTACCTTGAAAGAAGGATGCAATCTCAAACATGATCCTCTTTCTTCTATTTGTCTTTCTGCCGAGGTATCGCAGCTCCCGCTGACTTATATGCCACAGTTGCAGGCGTTTTGTCGGGTTCAGTTGCCGGTGATCACATGAGCCCCATCTCTGATACTACGGTCATCTCTGCAGTAAGTTCTGTGTTGATATACTAGTTTGTCCAGTATTTTAAAGTTCACCAACAATATGACGAGTCATGTGCCATACTAGTCTGATGTCGGTTTCTGATGTGGAAGCAAAACATCTCTAGTGTCCCAACATGAAGCCATGCATTTTCTGTTTTTACTCTGGTCGGGTCAAAAATACCTGTAGCCAGACAGAATGGTTAGGACGACCATGTACGAGGACTTGGACTACATTTATTGTTGATTGACATCCTACAGGATGTCCACATTGTTGACTTCATGCTCTGACGCCGCAGTATACAGCACAGCTGCATCCTTTCATCAGTTACCCCGCCAACGATTTGACGGCCATGAAGGCACCCAGACCTCCTAATACAACTCCCAATGCAGCATTGGCCATGGCAAGTTTGACTTCTCCTTTCAATGGTGCACTTGCATCTTTCATTCTCTTGACGGCTCCACGAAACATGATACCCGGGAAGACATAAATCAATGCATTTCCCAAGGTGGCGCCAGCAAATGACAACACAAAGGTAACATCGGGAATCACCAATGCCAATCCAGTGACTCCTGCCAACAAGGCAAGGGTGATACTATTCAGATTTTTGTTGGATCGGTTCTTGATATTGAATAGATCCATTACTCCATCACGAGCACCCACAAAGGCGAGTGGGAAGGACCCGACCAAACTGACTGCTACAGCAATGCGGGAAATCCCCATGAGTGTATCCGTTGTTGCATAATTGTTGAGAATGACACCACTGCAGGCACTTCCAAAGGTTAAGAATCCCAAGCAAGTCATGGAGGCAAAGAGCGCAATCGCAATGGCAAAACTAGTGGCTACCAGAGCGGAGAATCTTGGGATGGTGTTGTCCTTGAGTTCAGTAAAGAACTTGGGAGCATTGAAATGGGCCTGGTGGTGACAATACAGATGATGAAAGTAAAACCGACCAGAAGCGACAAAGGCAGTGGTTAGTTTTGCCATGGGTTCAACCGTGTGATAGGATGAAATTTGCAAGTCTCAACACCTAATATTGTTTCTTACCATGAAAGCAGTACTCAACATTGCCACCAGGATGGCTGCATTGGGACTGAGCACTCCCTTGGCTCCCACTGTTCCAAAGGATGGTTGCAAATTGACCGGCACGGCCTTGTGAAACTTGCCTCCCTTGGCATATGCCTTTCCAAAATATCGAATGGCCATGGCAATGGCGGTGTAGACCATACCAGCCGATCCCAACAAGGAGACGGGTGCTAAGGAACTCAAATTTTTGAGCAGACACAGGGGCAAGAGTACCAATCCTGTAATTCCGAGCAAACTGGTGGTGCTACTGACGGTATATCCAGCACCGGCAAAAAGGGAGGAAAAGGTATCTCCCAAAATCATGCTGTAGGCCAAAAGAGCACAAATGGTTTTGAAGGTCACGGCTACCGCTGGCATCCAGGATGTTTCCGGTGACACAGATTCAGCCCAGGCATCTTTAAAGGAAGTGGTATCGGTAAAGGAACAGACACGTCCAATCAAGCCAAATCCGTAGGCACTCAACATGCCAATAATGCCAATCAGGACCAAGGCCGGGATGGCGGCAGAAGGAGCATTTCCAAAGGCACAGATTCCGGCAGGCAATCCCAACACTCCAGCTCCCACAATACCCTTGACCAGATTAAAGGTGAGTTCCGGAACGGTAGCTGTGCCTCCACCTGTCTTGCGTGGCTCTTCGGCTGCTGCTGCCGTTTCCAAGAGACGAGTGGTGTGGGTTGTCGCGGTTGTGGTTCGAGGGGGACTACTAGTTGTAGTAGGAAGCACCAGTGGCCTTGCAGAAAAGGTTCTAGCTGATGGGACAAAGGCTCCTGCGAGGGGAGCTGTTGCCGCCAACAGGCCTAAAATTGCCGAAATCTTCATGGTTGTCGTTGACGTTTTGGATTCTCAACCGCTAGGATTCTTCAAACTGAAGAACGATGGATTTGGGTAGCCTATGATTACTAGCAAGCAAGGAATGGTACCTTTAGCTTCTCTGGCCTGGAATTGCAGACTTGAAGGAGCAAATTGTCACAAGAGAAGAAAATGCAATCCTTTGCCCGAGTGCCCGAGGTATCCACTCGACTCGACTCGACTCGACTTCGTGGGAAATGAAAGTTGCATCGGCAGTTTGGATGTTCGCATGTTCGGATATCTTTCAAGGCTGGAGGGCCATTGGTTGTCACAACGCTGACGCCATCATGTCACCAAACGTTACGTCCCCACACTCTCGACCAACGCACCGTCGTCAAGAGCTTGTGCTGGCTTATTTTCACTGTGAATGATCTAGACTACTCCAATAGACAATGCTCGAGTAGCACGGTCCCGCACGGACACAACAACGGCATGCTGATTGCAAAGCTGAGGGGGCAGGCTCAGGCTGTCCATACCGTACAGGCACAGCTCCGGGGCACCAAGCTAAGGGAGAGCACAAACAGAAAGCATCTCTCTATTATTTGACAATGGAAGCACCTGGCCATGTCCGTGGGGATCATGAGTCGGAGGCAGTAGAAGCGGAGGATCGGGAAGACCAGGCAGAAGAGGATGAAGCGGCCGCTGAGGCAGTCTACGAATTGGACGACCAAGACGGGGGCTTTGAACTTTGTCCTCGAGATCCGGCTCGTATGGAACTGACCGATCAAGAACGACAATGGGCTCTGGCCATCAAAGAAGCCATTGAGAGCGACGCTGAGCTGGAAAATGTCTCGGATTTTGAAGTGGCGCAATTGGCATTGGTGGACCGCGACAAGCGAGAGCAGGCGCTGGAAAGAGTCCGTCATTTCCAAATATTTCGAGAAGAATACAAGTTAAGAAATACGGTTGAAGAAGGAAAACGAATTTCTCGTGATTTTGTGCAACAACATCCCCTGACGGTCTTGTCCGTGTGCTTGAATCCAGATGAAGGCAACTAGTCTATGTGGCATAGTTGATATTGCCAATTTCTTTGAAAAGGATATCAAGTCGGAAGCTGGTTAGCTTACTCTAGTGGGATTTGCCTACTACAGTGGGCACATCTTTTCTCCCGACTTTACGGCCATCCGGAAAGGCATCAATTTTGTACTGGAAACCATGGACTACGACTGGCACAACCTGACCATGAAGACACGGCGTAAAATGTGGACTGAATGCTTGGGTGTGTACCCCTATCATGTACGAAAACTCAAATACTTTCACATGGGACTCTTTGCTTCCCTGGCAGCGTCACTCATGAAGAAATTCGTGCCCCAAGAAATTTATAATAAGGTGCAAGTGGGATGCCAATTTGGTGGTCGACTCGATACGTTCTATGTGGTACCCACCCGAGAAATTGCCAATCAACGTCTGATTGAAAGAATTGATGCTTGTCTGGAAAGACGATATGAAAATATTCAAAACTTTGGACTGTGATGACGGTTACGATGAAGAGGCTACATGGATTCTTGCTAGCTAGTAGGGGACAGATCAAATTTCTGGTATGAGTTTCTTGTGGCCATTCAAAACATTAATTGCTTCTGGAGCATGAGCTGTGCCATTCTGTTCTTTCTTTCTTTGTCCTGTTTGAGGGTATCGAGAGGATTGGAGCGGGAGCTTTCCCACAGACTATGTGCCTGGCATTGAGTTTCTTCTTATTAGTCTCTTTGATCACTTGGCTCTGCCCAACAGCACCCTGCTAATTTTGGCGTCGGTTCAGGAGTTGGTTGTGGCATTGATCCAGGCGCACTTGAGTTGGAGTTGGTTCAGACATTGGTCCAGGAGTCGAGCCAGGGGTAGGTCTAGCTACTACTAGTAGCTAGGAGTTCATCCAGGTTTCCTTGGTCTGGGATTGGGGCCTGGCAGTGGACCTGGATTTGGTCCTGGAAATGGACCAGGGGTACCGGTACGGTAGGTCCTGGTGTAGGGCCAGGAGTTATCCACGAGTGGCCACTAGATTTGGGCCGGAGTGTTGGCCCTACAAGTGTACTTGTGTTGCTACCGTATGGTTGTGCCTGCCATTTGTGCAGCCAGAGAGGAAAGGACCAGGCTGGGTGTTGCCTCCAAAGGCCTTGTGTACACTGCACATCTAAAAGAAGTATTTTATGATCGCACATGTTCTCCCCCTGTGATTCGATTCGATTCGATTCGATTCGCGGAAGATCCAGTGACGTCGTTTGGCACCACAAAATTGCAAAATGCCGAGCCAAGCAGTTCTGCACGATCTTTGTTGCCAATTGCCAATCAATCGTTATTTCACTTCTTGCACTAAACAAGTAGTACGGAGTAGTGGTATTATAGTGAAACCTTGCAATTACAAGACATTGTTGTACTTTCCCGAAGGAGATAGATAGGAGAGTGTTGCCTTGCTTCCGCATTTTGCTACACTACTGACAGCTCAAGTCAAATCAAGTCTTGATCTTTCTCATTATTCCTCATCCCTTTGACCAATCGAGAAACGATGCTTCACTTCAGGACTTCACTGCTGCTACTTGCCCTCTTGGCCGGCACTGCCTCGGCTCTGGTCCCACCTGTTACCACTCACTCCGTGACAAATCTGCACAATATTCGAGGAGGTGGTGCTCGTGGGAAGCGACAACCTTTGACAAAATTGAAATCGGATGCGGCTGCTGCTGTTCCTGGCGAGAGTGGTGATGGCACTGCTACTATTCCCAATGAAGTATTCAACTTGGTCAAGGGGATTGTGGGTAGTGGAGTCCTTTCTCTGCCGTATGGTATTGCCGTTTATGGAAATGCTCCCTCGGCTGTCCTACCAGCCACCATTTTGATTACTATCATGGGTATGATTTCTGCCTACACATTTGGACTTATTGGACGGGTCTGCCAAGCCACCGATACCATGTCCTACAGTGATGCCTGGGATGCCACCATTGGATCCTCTTCCAGTGCCTTGATTGCATTTTCCTGTTTCTTTGATTGTTTTGCCGGCTGTTTGAGTTATTCCATGATTTTGGCAGATACCTTTGTCAATTTATTGGCATTTGCTGGTGTCTCCGTTACCCGCACGCAATCTCTCCTGGGAGTCACAGGATTTGTGTTGACACCACTCTGCTTTCTCAAAAATCTCAAATCATTGGCACCATTCTCCTTGGTGGGAATTCTAGGAATGCTCTACACGTTTGTTGCTATGGCAATTCGATACTTTGGTGGTGCCTACGCTGTTGGAGGAGCCTTTCGGGATACAGCACTCAAGGCACCTGTGTTTGGCACTGCTGGAGCCGCGTCCGCTTGGAGTCCCAAAGCACTGATTTTGACCTGCATGCTTTCCAATGCATACATTGCCCATTTCAATGCCCCCAAATTCTTGAAGGAACTCAAGAACAATACCATGCCACGATTCCACCAAGTCATTGGATGGAGTTTTGGAGCCAGTGTGTTGCTCTACGCTGGAATGTCAGCTCTGGGATTCCTTACATTTGGAGCTGCCAGCAATGGACTCATCCTGAACAGTTATTCCAACAAGGATCTTCTCATGAGTATTGCCCGTTTTGCCGTGGCAATTTCCGTGACTTTCAGGTAAGCTTTTTTTGGCCAGTTTGATTGACAGTAATAACTGTTTTACATGATTTTGAGGGGCAAACTTGATAGCTCGGTATACAAACGTACGTACTTCTAACATGCAATCCTTGTTTCTCCTTTCTTCAGCTACCCACTCTGTTTCATTGGAGCCAGGGATGGTCTTTTGGATATGTTCAAATACCCACAAGAAAAGCGTGATAATGGATTGCTTAACAAAATGACGATTGGTATGATTGCTGTTGTGACTGCTATGGCTGCGAAGTTGACAGATTTGGGATTGGTGGCAAGTGTGGGAGGAGCTACCTTTGGAACGGCTCTTGTCTTTGTCTACCCAACACTCATGATGATGAAGCTTAAAAAGAACAAGGGAGTTGAAAGCAAAATCGCCGGTGTTATTGCTCTCCTGGGTGTTGTCATGGGTGTCATTGGAACAAAGCTGTCATTTGAATAACTTCCTTCATAACTGCGAGCTAGTGGCTAGTTCTAGCTAGCAATCCACGCCGTTCGTGCTAGCTAGCTAGTTGCTACCAGTAGCAGCTAGCTAGTTGTCCTTCATTCCTTGGCCACAGGACTTCAAAACTGGAGTTGGGGGAATGGGCTTTTGGAGCACTCCTTTGGGGCATACAGTTGGTTTTGGTGGATCTTCCACTTTGAGTCATGCTACACTGAATTGCAGCATCTTCTATTTTGACTTTCTTCCAGATTATGTCACTTGGTAATAGTTGCTACGTACTTTTACGTGGAGCCTTCCTGATTGTCATTCTTCCACATTGAGTCATACTTCCATTTTCGGTGGATCTTCTATTTTCAGTGGATCTTCCATTTTCAGTCATGCTACACAGGGGGATTGAACGAACCCGGAAAACAGGTATCCCGCAACTCCACTTCAATCGAGTGTGTCAGCAGTCAGCAACATCCATCCTCCATCTCTCGATGGATCTACAGTATTGAGTCCATACCAAACAGAGCAGCAGCAGCAGCAGCAGCAGCACAACCACCACCACCACCATGTTTATAGTCACCAAGGTAGTGGATACGCTTCGTATCTCCCCCAACATGCTATCGATTCCCTCCTTGACGGCAATTCATTCCGAAATGGACCGTCGGTATCCCAACCGAGTTTTGATGGATGTGGGGTTGGTGATTTGTCGGTATGGGGATTGCTTGAAGATTGGGGATGGCATTTGCGTCAATGGGGATGGTGGGGCACATCACGAGTGTTTGGTCAAATTGGTTATTTTTCGACCCTTTGTAGACGAAGTCTGTACCGGTCGCATCAAGAAGAGCACTCCTGAAGGCATTCAAGTGAGTTTGGGATTCTTTGAGGACATTCACATTCCAGCTTATTGGATGTTACGGCCCAGTCAATTCGAAGCTCGAACGGGTCTGTGGGTCTGGATGGACGATGATGAACGCTACGAAATGGAAATTGGATCGGAAATCCGATTCAAAATCAAGACCATCAATTTCACGCAAATCACCAATACGGCCAAGGGAATGCAGGCCACCACCACTACCACCACAGCGCAAGCTCCTATTACCAATCCTGGTGACATGATGAGATCCAGTAGTAACGATGGAAGTGGCAGTGGCGGTGGTGCAAATATCAAGGCAGAATCTTCTCAACAACCGGTTCGGAAACGTAGTCTTTCGGTGGATTTGTCCGAATCCCAAAACATGCCTGCCACCATGCATGTTGTGGCTTCCATTTGTGAGGATGGATTGGGTTTGACCAGTTGGTGGGAAGCGCAGGAAGAAGAAGAAGAAGAGGAGGAAGAAGAAGAACGAGAGGAAGAGGGAGCAACTAATGAAGAAGATGTCATGGAAGAAGAGTAACTATTGGAGGCACTAGCTAGTTGCAGCAGCGAAGTGCGCGTTCATCGATGAAACTGTCCATCAAATTCATTGTTGGAGGAACTCTGTGTTTGTTTATTATTGAGGCATCGTGGGATGGACGTGTCGTGTCATCGAGAGCTGCCGTCATCATCATCACATTGGCTAAATGCATCCTCAACTCAAAACTCACTCCCGCAGCTGTTTGGCGACAAGCGGTTTTGTCATGCTACAAGATCGAACAAGGAAGAGCAATGGTAGGGACAAGAGTGGAGATGATCTGGACACCGTCCTCCGAGACCTCATTGTTTCCGTTGCAGAGAGTTGGTTGGCAATAAAATGAAGTTCGACATAAATGGCTACTAGTTTACAAGCTCTACCTTCTGACATGAATGTTGCAAGGAGGAGTGCGCCGATTCCTGAGTTTGGTGTGTCCACTCTGCTTCTCGTTTTCGGAAGATGCCAGGACGGGATGAACAAACCACAGTCGGCATCACTTCTACTGCCGATTGTAGTTGTAATTGTAGTATATCATCCTGAATCTCTGTCTCATTCCCATTCCCATCATATTCATGTTCATGCTGTTCATGCCCATCGGTCTCATTTGCATCCTCATCCCGCCTCCGTTAGGATAATAGTTGTTGCGCATCATCATGCTCATCATTGAGCCACCGGACATTCGCATACCGGCATATGCCCACGGAGGGAGTCCCCGCATGCGCATGCCTCGCATGGGGGCATTGAACATTGTACTGGTTCCTCCACCTGCACCGGGGCTAAAGCAACTGCATCAAGAAGAAGAGAAACGGCATGATTCAGTGATTGCTTGGATCCTTGTCAAATGACGAAACATTTCTGTACGTACAGCTGGCGATTTCCGCCTCCGCCTCCTCTACCGCCTCTTCCCTTTCCTCGGCTCCTGCTACTGCGTCCTCCCATCATACCACCCATCATGCCCATGCCGCGCCTGGATCCCTTGCTTCTACCACTCTTGCTTCGTCTTCTTGGTGGCTGCAAGCGAATGAACGGTTACAATGATATCAAGCGACGATGGTGAGAACAGTATCGTGCGAAAAACCGAGCACGAGCCCCGCTTGAATACTTACATCAACTGGAATGCAGAAGGACGGGGCAGTTGACGGGGCGAGACTAACACTGGGTGATAGACTAGGCACGTCACTGGGAGAGATGGATGGAGCCATGGAGACAGTTGGAGATTCTGTAGGCGAATTGGACGGCTGCTCAGTCGGGGCTTTGGTTGGACTCGCGGAAGGTTGTTCGGTTGGTGCCATGGTTGGAGATGCAGATGGCTGGTCTGTCGGACTTGCCTGGATGTGACAAGATGCAGCAACGACGAGAAAAAAAGAGAATAAGTCAGCAAGAGCAGCCAAGAACAACCCATCGATCCTCTGCTCTGCAAGCAAACATACCGAAGGTTGTTCTGTTGGGGCCTTGGTGGGGGACGCAGAGGGCGCATCCGTTGGAGCGAACGACAACGAGGGTGCAACAGAAAGGGATGGGGACACGGATGGAGCCGCCGTTGGTTCGGGAGTAGGACGGCGCATCATGCGCATGCGCATTCGACTAGTAGAATGATCACAAGGATTAGAAAGGCTGTCTTCTAGCTTTGTGTGCAAGCAAGAAGATTGATGAAATAAGTTGATGGTGAACGCACGTACCTTTTGCTGCCCATCCTCATCATGCCGCTGCGACTTTTGCTCCTGCGCATTCCACCCATCATGCCTCTGCCACCTCTCATTCCTCCTCCTCCTCGCATGCCTCCTCCTCCTCGCATACCTCCTCCTCCCATCCCTCTCATGGGACCACCCCTCATACCCATTCTTCGGCGCAACAGGCGAGCTTTAATATCGGACGTTCGAATTGTATCATAGTCATCACCATCAACATAACTAAAACTGAAGGCCGTGGTGGTTGGAGATTCCTCGCCGTAGCTTGGTGTAGCAATTTCGACTCCATATCTTGATATCGTATCGATTTCCTCGGCAGCATTGGAGCCAGCAATGACGAGTGCCATTGACAAAAACAGTACGGAAATGTGGTATCTCTTCATGGTAAGGATCTCCTAGCTAGAGGGATAGGTAGCATTGGAGAGTTCCGTTTCCAATGCAATGACCACAACCAAAAACTGTCACATCTTACCCGTGCGAAGCTAACACGAGCAACGGTACCATAGAATCTTGTGGCGAGATGGACAAGACCCAAGGACAAATTTGATAGATGCAATAGAAGGCTCATTTTTCCTCCTTGGTGCGTTGGATGCAAACAACGTGCCGATTGGGTCATGAATATTCATGACTCTTTGACTGACGTCAGACCCTACAACCCACCGGTACCTGCATCATCCATGAATGGCAGTATGGCAGAAGAGGATTGATCCAAAGAGACCAAGCTCATAAGAGATGACAATAGTACGGATAACAAGCCCAATAACAATGAAGTCGAGTCTTCTTCTGAAGCTGCTGTTTCCTTCCCTGTTACCTACGGCAAGAAGCCTTTCCATTGCTGCTCTCACACGAATATCATTTTCGGAAGTACCCATTGACGCATCTGGCAACCCGCCCGAGGGTAGTTCCATTGGGGAACGCGTCAAATGGGGCGAAAACATTTTGCAAGTACACGACTTGGCCACTCCAGACGAATGCCAGTGGTTGATCGATGCTTGTCTCCAGGCTGCCAAGGAGGCGACTCCCACACGAGAACTGGACAAACCAGGATTAGTACGACTGCCCACAATTGCGGCGGCGCAAAGAGCAGCCGGGACCAAAACTCCCTGCGCGGATCCGCTGCCTTCCAACGTCGATGAACGATTGCAAGAACTTTTGGAGCGTGCTACTCGGTACATGGACGACCAACTGCCATCGCTGACGAGCACTCTCTTTGGTTGCCATGATAACAACAATGACAATGACAATAATTCACTCACTCAGTTGCTCCTCCACAATCAGCTCAAGTTTTCTTCTCGAGAACCTGCCATTAACGTTTACACTAGTGGAGGAGAATTCCTGGCGCACAAGGATGCGCAAGCCTTGACGGTACTCCTACCATTGTCGTGTCCCGACCGCGATTTTGTGGGAGGTGGAACGGCCTTTTGGAGTCAAGATGCCAGGGGACATCGCGTGGAAGATCCAACCTTGATTGTCAAGGCACCCGCTGGCACAGCCTTGTTGTTTGGAGGGTGTGTCACTCACGCCGGTGTTGCTGTAGAGAGTGGTTCCCGAGTTGTCTTTGTGGCCAGTTTCAGTAGTAGCCAACAACAAAATATGGGACTGGAGCAGCAGCAACCACAACGGGATATATATGGGGACAGCATGTAATTTGCAGCTCACGAGGAAGGAAAGGTAGTGGCACTTTGTTGCTGCAGGTTGCTACTACTGACACGATAAGCCAACATTGGATGCTGGCAACGACTTTTGATAAGCATCAACCAATCAACCCAATCATCATGGTTGTCCGACGCAGCAAAGGTGACGAGAAACGTTGGCCCTGGATTTCAATTCAGAGAATGCATCGGGAACACCTCATACGGTATCACAATGTGGGGGGAAGCGTCGAACCATGGCAGCAGCATGGTCACAACTCAGCAATGGCCAAGCTTAGGATGGACAAAGTTCCTCTCCCCACACTGAAAAACAGAATTTGCCCCCCTTTCTGTTAGAAGGCGGTAATGCCATAGAATCGAATCGCAGAGGAGAGACATTGGAATAGGATACATCACGTATAAATTTCCTCCATACGAACGCGTATACTTCTAATTCCCAACCTCAACACACATTAGTGTTCTTCGTCATGTGACCCAGGGCAGCCATTGTCACGTAGCCACTGTATCATGTCCCTTTGGCACCTATCACTTGCATATCTAAATGTCGATGTACTCAATGGGCACCCATTAGCATGAGCCCACTTCAAAATTTCCAAATTTCCTTGTTGAGCAGCATACAGACAGATCATACTATCCCAAGGACAGCCCCTTGCACGAGCCCACTTTACTACTTCCCAATGGCCCTGTTGAGCAGCCCTTTGACATGTCCATTTATCCCATGGACAGCGTCTCTTTTTTAACCAAATCAGCAGATCCAGGTGGCCATTTTGAGCAGCAGAGGCACAGGCATCCACATCCCACGGGAATCCCTTCTTACGGGCCCATCGCATCACAGCAATATTCCCATCTTGGGCAATGGTTCCGCAAACATCATGGTATTCAGGTCTCTTCTTCCTGGCACGGTCGTTGATCCAGAATTCCGCACGGGACACACTGCAAAACGTGGCACTATGAAGAGTGTCTGTGCTTTTTACAAAGCGACTGAAATCCAATTGTTGGACACGATCCATTGGGCGAATGTACACCTCTTGTGGATTTCTCTCCAGCTCGATGTCACAGTACTCTTTGTACAGTTGGTTGAGTTTCTTGTTGACTGGACCCACAAAAGCATAATGGCCAACTCCAACGAACGGCAGGATCTCTTGAACCCAAATTTCCTTGTGCTCCAACAAAGCAGGAGACTCGGCAGCAGCAGTATTCATGGTATGGATTGTGGCAATAGTCGATGGTTTTGTTGGCGAGCTATCGCCTGGCTTCGACTTTTTCTTTTTATCATCGGCGCGTAGCGATGGTTTCAGTCTTTGGCGAGAAGATGCGGTCGACTGCATGAACCGTGGTTGCCGCAAGCGACTCTTTGGCTTGCCTGCAATGGTTGTTCCCTCACCCTTGCCAATGCCAACACTCGATGGAGTTGTGGTGATCTTGTTCGGAGGTACCGGTACCTTTCCTTTGTCCCTTGGCTGTCTCCTCATGGATGCTTGTCGAGCCGCCTCCAGTTTCTTATTCATCTCTCCAAGGCTGGAAGGCATTTCCTTGTTACTCTAGCTAGCTAGTAGCTAGTAGTAGCTCTCTCCTCCACGGTTGGGATGTTGGGCAGGTGCCTTGGGGATTCTGGAGAGCTCTTGAAATCCTTGGATCTATTCGACCCATTCTTCTTTCATTCGAATCGCAAATCGGGTGAGTCAATCGATCACCAATCAATGACGTGTGCAAAGAGACGTTACAGCGTTCTGTTGATGATGCCACAACAAGAAACATCATCGGAACAAACAGCTAGATCTACCTAGATCTACTACTAGTCTAGTATCTCTTCAAAGTTAGCACTGTGGATAGTATCAAAAACAGTGGATCTGTATCATTTCCACCATGATGTCCGCTGCTGCACTTCGAATATCCACGCAAAAATGGTCGACCACTACGGCCACATCCCTCCAGCAAACGGCAACTGAAATGTTGGCCAAGCGTCTCTTGGGGACAACATCGTGCTCCAGTGTCTCGGCCATGGCCACTCCAGGATTGCGACGCGTCACTTGGAAGAAGACGACGACCCACACTACTACTCCACGTCAAGAGATTTGGAACAAGAATTTTGCCCGTTTGTACGCTCGTCGCATGCTGGAATTGGCCGCCTTGGCAGCGGCATCGCGTCGATTCGTGACGGAACTCGAGAGTGCCATTGATAAGCCATCGCAATGGAAAGACTGGGAATATCGAGATTGGACGGACGATCTCTTGGCCAGTCTCGGACGGACCAAATGGGAACGATTTTGGTCGTCGACACAACGCGTCGTGTCGTTGGGACTGCTGGCGACACCCTTGGCCATTTTGATGCCCTTGTCCAGATTCTCCGAGACGTGTCATCAATGGAGTTGGGATTATGCCTTGTGGGGGATCGAAATGGCCGGACCGACATTTATCAAACTCGTTCAATGGGCAACCACAAGACAGGATTTGTTTAGTCAAGAATTCTGTCTCCATTTTGGCAAATTGCGCGATGAAACCAAGGGACATTCCTTTGCCGAAACACAACAAATCCTCCAAGAAGAATTCGGCACTCGACATGTATCGCAATGGCTCAAAATGGATCCCACACCCATTGGATCGGGATGTATTGCTCAGGTATACCATGGACGATTGCTCGAGGGAACTTCCAAATATCCTGCCGGAACGGAAATTGCACTCAAAGTGCAACATCCCGGAATTTGGCACAAGGTCTGTGTCGACTTTTACCTTCTCGCCAAAATTGCAAAGTTCTTGGAGGGATTGCCCAAACTCAACCTAAAGTACCTTAGTTTGGCGGACACGGTCCGGCAGTTTCGAGATATCATGTTGCCACAACTCGATTTGCGCATTGAAGCGGCCAACCTGCAACGATTCAATCAAGATTTTCGAAACGATGACAGTGTCACATTCCCTCATCCACTCGAAGAACTCACCACGTCACGAGTATTGACCGAAACATTCGTTCATGGGACACCCATTATGGAATACACCAAAGCTTCGGTCGATATGCGCCGGCAGGTTGCAAAAATTGGATTGGAAACGACACTCAACATGATCTTTCTCAAAGATTTCATTCATGGTACGTACGCCGAGACTTTCATCCATTACGGCTATTCATTCATTCATGGCGTCTTGTTCTGTGTAGTGGGCTCTCACCGTTGCATGATTCGATTCGAATGCTCTTGTGTCGTTTTTAGGCGATTTGCATCCGTAAGTTCATTCCTGGTCATGGAACAGTTTTAAAATTGGACGTGACTTTAGTTCTCACTTGCAAATAATTTGCTGTCTTCTTCTCATGCCGCGCCATGCCGCAGTGGAAACATTCTTGTATCGGAAAAACCAGACGGAACTCCCCAACTACATTTCTTGGATTGTGGCTTGGTGGTAGAAGTGGGACCCCACCAGCATGAAAACATGATCAAGATCCTCGGGGCATTCACACGGAAAGATGGACAACTCGCTGGACAACTCATGGTGGACTCCTCTAGTGAATCCCAAGCTTCCGATCTGGATGTCGAATTGTTCATCAATGGGATCGTACATATCATCAAAATGGATGACGACAATGTATGTTCTGTTTGTCTTGGCTGTTTGTGTGCTCCGAACGATGGGCATTGCACTAACATTTCGTTGTTCTTTGTTTGATTGGCTTTCACAATTCCACAACTTTTGGTACAGAACTTTATTGAAAAGGTTGGAGACTACATTGCAGATATTTGCTTCCTAGCTTGCAGGCACAAGGTGAAGTTGGAAGCCACATTTGTCAATGCTTCTCTTGCAGTGGAGATTATGGAAGGAATTGCGGCTGCCTTGTACCCGGACATGCACGTCCAGCCAATTGCACTCAAGCTCATCGTAAGGGCGGAAATGATGCACCGCATGGGAATGAAATAGTTGGATATGTTCGCCCTACTTTACTTGGGCAGAGCTCCCTTGCTACCGGTAGCTAAGTACTTACGTAGTTTGTAGACATGCAGCAGCTCATACTTTTTTGTTTGTTTATTTTATGACACAAACATCGAATTCAAACATAAGTTCATGGGATCTCGAGTGCAAAGGCGTTCCTCCGCTGTGGTACTAGACTAGTATCTTTTGATCGTAGCCTACAGTGTCCAGTACTTGAGCAAGTAGTGCTAGCTAGCAAGTACCGGGGCCGTACCGGTAGCTTGCTCTGAATATCTACTACTTTCATCAAAATGGAACCATGATGAGGCCACATGCGCATCGCCGTGCTTTCCAATCTTTCAAAAAAGCTCGTTCGTTCACACCTGGATTTGCGCTTTGGAACTTTGGAAATCTTCAAGGAAAACTGCACGGCCATTCTTCCAAATCTTCAGCACTCGTCTAGCTAGCTAGCACTAGCAGGAGCCATCAGCAGCCATGGCGTCCACCACGGCGTCCACCACCACTACTACAGATACCAGCTCTGGAAGTGCTGACTTCAACAACCTAGATCTACTGCAAGTTGGCAATGATAGAAAGAATCCCCACAAATATATCTTTCGCCGAACAGATTTTCGACGGCTGCCTCGATGGCCAAATGATGGGATTGACCAGGAAAACTCCCGAACAGACCGAAAGCATTTTGAGTTTGCACATCCCAATGCTGAGCAGCAAGCGCTAACTGAACTCTTTGATGGCTGCTGGATCTATGGAATGTCATTGGCAGATATGGACGATGACGACCTTCCAAGATCCATGCCATATTTGATGCAAGCTAAAGCCGCAAAAGCGACTGGAGATCCAGAGGCAGCCAAACAACATCTAATCAAGCAATACCAAGAGGGCAATCGGAAAGTGCGCAAGCTCTTGGGAACAATTGAGTGTAAAGATGCAATCCACAAGAGCTCTCGAGATCCTCTTCGGTTCCCAGGTGTCTCAGCCATATTATATCCCTTGTTCAATAAGAATTTGGCATCCGAAGCAAACATTGAGCGATTGTTTGGAGACATCAAACGAGTCCTCTCAGCTGTCTTAGAAGTTGGAGTTTCATTTGCACAGCCTCCTCCACCAAATAGTCCGGCAGGTGCACTAAGATCAGCCATGCTCCAACCTGGACAGGTGGCTGCTGCAGACAAGGAGTGTGCCAATTGTGAGACAAAGGGAGATTATTTGACTCGTTGTGCTGCGTGCAAGACTATTCACTACTGTTGTAAAGAGTGCCAGAGAGCTGATTGGATCCTACATCGACCCAACTGCTTTGAGGCTCAGGGCAAGGAAGTAACCGAAAGGATGCTAGAAAAGGCCAAAGCGGAATATCGGAGAAGACAAGCAGATGAGCGGAAGGCTAAGATGACTGCAGATGCCCAATACAAACAAAAACTACAAGATTCCTTTGTAGCATTGGCCAACGAGCCTGTGGACGCTATCAATACCTATTCAAAAGATTGCGATGGGCATCGACGCAGGGTGGATTTACCATTTTCAGCACCGTTCATTGAATCCTGCGTCGCTGCCATGTTGGAGCTCCAGTACGAATCTGAATTGAGCCTTGGAATGTTTCCTGATGGCATTGATCATGAAAAATACTCAGGAAGGGGTGCATTGATCAGATATCCCTCCAATGGTGCCAAGCTAATCATCCTTCATGAACGGCTGTTTGAAGATGGTGATGGTAATTTGAATGGCCATGCCTTGGAGGGAATCTTTGTAGTTCACAAGGTCAACCGCAAAAAGAATCGAGCAGTTTGGAGAATGGTGACAAAACCGAACTACAGAAAGAATCAAAGTCGACTGGAACGGTTCCAGAGTTATCTGGAGGAGGCCAAGGGACAAGCAATGCCTGTACCCGAAGAAGTTGATTTGGGCATCCACAACCCTGGTGATTTCAATCTTACGTTTGTCTCTACGCCATTTGGAGACCATTGTTCCATAGAATAAGATATGATTGCTGGTACTGTACTTCATTGCTAGACTAGACCTAGTACAAATAGAGAACAAGCAGCCGGAGGCTGATGCCCTCAACTGTCAAAAAGAGATTTGATTGGATTCCCCAATCGAATCCTTAACATCTTTGGTCAAATCCTTTACCATGTTCAACTGGACACACTAGCAAGTCTCCATAGCCAGCCAGTAAGGGTCCAAAGTACTGTGTCCAACAGAACACACAATATCAATCCCTATCCTTAACAAGGAAAATGTCCCTTATGTCTTTGGCAAAACTTACACCGTGTTTATCTGGACACACTAGTGAGTCTGCATAGCCAGCCAGAACTGGTACCCATATGTTGAAACTACTGTGTCCAGCTGAACACACAATATTAATCCCTATTCTTAATGAGGAAAGTGTCCCCTATGTGACCAAAACAGCTGCAACAAACACACAAACACACACACACACACACACACACACACATACAGCGATAAAAGTGTGAAAGACCCTCAGTCCGTTGAGGGCAACAGCGGGTCAACAGCACCACAATGTAGCAGGCCCACCCACTTTTGCTTAAAAATTTAGTCATCACCAATGAGGTGGCGGATACGGTATACAATGTGGATTGCACATGTGGCCAGACCAAACGGTATACCGTTTACCGCAGTTTTTCTCTTTGATATTTTTGTAAAGAGAAGTCAATTATTTTGTGAACTGTTTACCGTTTACCGTTAATCTGCTGTGGCTTTGGGTTGTGCATTGCTTCTTTGGAGACATCGCAGGAGGGAGGATGCCGTATATCGTAAATCATCTAAACATCAACTTTAAGTTGTAAAACCGTAAACCGTAAACCGTATATTGTACACAGATATTGTCCTCTTTTGAACAAGTCAATGTATGAACGGTAAACGGTAAACAGTAAATTGTTCCCACGATGAACCGTAAACGGTATGGGCGGCAGGAAACTACATTGATCAAACAGTATGCAATACAGTACAGATCAGAATTTGACTTTTACAGTGGAAGCACTTTGAATCAAGCTGCTTCCTCTTGTGGAGTAGTGGTAGATGGTATGACCACTACTAGCTAGTAGTAATCACAAGGAGATGGCAACAACAACAACAACACTGTTTGCTGTTGATGCAGAGGACTTGTGTTTTTTTCCTTCTTCCTTGATTGAGTCACTAGCAAACCAAGACTAAACTGGCTAGCTACATTGTGGTGCTGTTGACCCGCTGTCCATCTTAACCTCTACTAGAGTAGTCTTATCTCACAATTTGGTCAGGTGTGGCAGCAGCGGAAGCTAAGTTTGTAGCCAGCCAGGTGTTACAACCAAAAAACGGGCCTAGAATACCGGTACTGCTAGGACGAGGGACAGCTTTGCACCTTCGGGTAAAAGATTGGGTTTTTTGGGGGGGGACATCAACGGGGCCGGTACTGTACAGTTTTCTCCTTTGGATGATGGCACTGGCTGAGTGTGTGGGTGTCATGGCATCAGCTTGCAGGTCCATCTCGTTTGCTAGCTAATAGCTAGACCAGCAACAGCAACGCTGAGGTACTAGCTAGTAGTGCCGTTGTGCCATGGGTGCGGCATTTTTTTCCAAGCCTGCCTGAACCTTGGATGACAACTACACGTGATTGGTGAAGATGTTGGCTGGCGGTCAGCTGGGCCGGAGCTTCATTGCTTCTTGGTTGCTGATCAGGGTTCAAGACGTTCGGAGCTCTGAAGTGTGGAGCGCGCGGCTCTGCTTTACGATGTCCTGCGTCACTGCAACTAGGATGGATGGATAAATTGCCCAGCAATTCGCAGATTTATTCTCCGCTATTTTGGACACGGAACAGGAAGGTTTGTAATAATAGGGTACGGTATAGAAAGAGCTGAGCAAATAATGATGTATTGAAATTGACTGTACCGGTACTCTAGTAGAGGCAAGGCCCCTTTCAAATCAAAGTAAAACACTATAATATGCATCTGACCTAATCTTTTTATTCCGTGACGCTTCTTGTTTGCAACAGACGTCAGTCGTTACTTCAAAGAATGGCGGGTCATCTGGCATTTGAGGAAAGAGGCTGGCTCGATCCGCAGAGAGGCGGTTACCTTCCATGACCGTACTAGATAGAGTCGAGTCCACAGCTAGAATGCTACCGGTAGCTACAAGGTCAGGCCAGAATCTAAAATCATCAGCCACTTTGCGACAGTCGTTCTGGGGTCTCGCCGCACAAATCTCCCGTAATAATCGGAGTTTCGGAGCAGTCAGCAGCAGCAAATTAGCATATTGCAACCCGCACAATTCGTCCGACCGAAGAAGCTTGTTCCAGGAAGCCCATTCCAAACTCCGTTTAACTCGATCCAAGTAACATCGTCTACCTTTGAGCTTCATCTCGACGCTATCTTCTTTTGTCAGTTATCATTTGGATCAGCAAGTCAACTTAACATGCAGAACCGATTACTCGAAGAGCTATTGCGCCGGCGTCAGCAAGAACAGCTCTTGCAGCAGTTAGGATCCGCAGCTACTCAGTTGAATTCGACCACTATGAGTCTGTCGTCGTCCTTGGGAGGCACAGGGACAAATAATTCCAATGCCTTGTCTTTGGCTGGGAATCCCTTACCGGCTGCTCCTGCTCCATGTACGGCCGCTTCTCCGATATTAGTGTTAGAGCTTCAGAGACGGCTTCTTAACGGCGGCGGTGGCGGCCTTGGCAATACTGCGGCAAGTGGTATGGGTCTCGCTCCAGCGGCGGCTTCTTTGGATTTGAGTAGTCTCCTTGGAAACAACACTTCCGCTAGTTTGACAGCAGTGCTTGGTGCCCTAGCCTCAGGATCCGCCAATAATGCTGGGTCCAATGAGGACTTGCTGCGGAGCATGGCTGCCAACAAGGTGGATTTTTTTGTTTCTTCTTCTTTTTTTCTAAGTGGGGCACGGCCAGCTTTTTTGTGGAGCAGCGGCATTCCGAATCATTCGGCCGACAGGTCTTCTTTTTAAGTCAAGCTCTGACGCCTCTTCCGCCTGGAGGTACTGATGCCGCGTCCCTCTTGTCAACTCTGGCAAGTCATGGTGCGGCACCCGGGGCTGCTAGTGTATCACCCGCACCCGCAGAGACAAACTCAAATTTGGCGCCTATGGCGCAGACGAAAAGTGTTGTAGACGGAGGATCTCCGCGCCATACTCTGTGTGATTACATGCCCAGGGAGCTCTCAAGACACGAACAACTCATAGGAATGCCGCCGTCCACAGAGGGTCTTTGGAGGCAGGTTCCTGAAATCTGCAAACTGCAATTGCAATTCCTACAAGCTGCCAAGAGACAACGGTTGCTGACCAGTAACAATGGCAGTAACAATGGCAGTAACAATGGCAGTAACAACTCTCCCGCTGACATCCAGGCTGCTGCCAGCCTTCTGCATCAGCAGCAGCAAGAATCTAGGTGCATATCAACGCAACAGCACACACCCTCCAGCCTGCGTCTGTCTCAATTGCATGTTTTAAGCAGCACTGGACGACCCAAATGGAGAGGAAGCAAGCCGCCGTCCCTGTTATGAGCCATCCTCCTGCTCGTGGGAACAGTTTTCCGTTACCTCCCCTTCAAGAAGATTCCAAGACGAAGGGCGAAAACGCTACTCCTGGCATGCCCAAATTAACCTCGTTTCGAAAGGCTTGGGACAATGTCAAGAGTAAGGGGATGCGAAAGGAAATCTTTCTGCGAAAACTCTATCACTGTAAAATTGTTCCGTCCTCTCCTTCTTCGTCTGCCACCCCCGGGGCACGACGAGGGCAAGCAAAGATGCAGCAAGATACGAATGACTCGACTGCGACTTACCTTCCTGGAATTTGGAAAGCTTGGTGGGACCATGGGGTGTGGCTGGTTGAAATGAACCTTGAAGATGGCTGGTTGTCTTCTTTTATTTTTTTGTATATTATTATTACATTACATCCATGTACATTGATGCCTGTTCTGGATACATATTATTGAGAAGTCATCATTATAAGCATACTTTTACTTGAAGGATAGTGCTATAGTCTCCGGCCAATGGTGAGCTCGAGTTGCCTGATGAGCCAAGCCTACGGTACGGTACATGGTACCTGCCTACGATAGAGTTATTCTCCCGAGTGCCTCGCGGACTGTCTCTTGGGTGCACAACGAGGCTGCGGCAATAGCTCTGTAATCCAAGTGACTGTTGAAGGAACGACCAAATCATTTCGGATCCGGGCGACTTGCGGACGGATGGACCATTCCAAGTGACTGTTGAAGGAACGACCGAATCATTTCGGATCCGGGCGACTTGCGGACGGATGGACTTTTTGTTTCCCAGAGATGATTCGATTCGATTATCCATTCTGCTACCCTTCTCTCGAACACGAAATGGTTCAGTCTTTGAGCGCTTTTCTTGTTTTCCAAACCTCAATTTCACCGATGTCAAATAGCGGAAATTAGTATAAATGAGAGCATCGATAAGTAGTTCTGACACAATTCATTAAGTCTTCCTGAGTGAGATCTATGCATACACGGTATCCTAGAAACAATACTCTAAATCCTCGGATCGTTATTTAGAGTCCAACTTACAAGCCAGGGAATGGCTGTTTTAGCACTAATTTCTATCGAAACAACGTCAAATTGACGTGTAAACAGTGAATTCGATTTTTCAGTGCAGAAATCTTCGCCCTTCACCGCATCAACAACATTTTTCGACGATGATGATCTCCAAACCCATCAAAGGTACCTTGGTATTTTTCTGCGGCAAGATGGGGGCTGGAAAGTCTACACTCTCGCGTCAGATAGCAAAGGAACGTCGAGCTGTGCTGCTTTCCGAAGATGAATGGCTGGCATCCGTCTACGGACCGGATCGCATCACTTCCCTTACCGACTACATCGAACATTCCAATCGACTCAAACCGCCGATGAAAAAGTTGGTGCAATCGATCCTGGACGCTGGCACAGACGTAGTAATGGATTATCCAGCCAACACCATTGCTCAACGAAAGTGGTTCCAAGGAATTTTCTCAGAAGTATCGGCCGCACACGATTTGATGTACCTGGACGTGGAAGACAGCTTGTGCTTGAAACGGATTGCAAAGCGAAGAAGGGAGGAACCTGAACGAGCCAAAACTGATACCCCGGAGATGTTTGCCCAAGTGACCAAGTATTTTGAGCCTCCAACGGAAGATGAGGGATTCACCATCACTTGGTTCACAATTGAAACCGAGTCTTCACAGGAAAAGGCTAAAACTATATTTTTGTCTGCAAGCCGTTTTCTTGCGCTTCGATGTTGCATTCCCATTTTGCAAAAGATTTGAGACAAATTGTTCTCTTTTCCTTTTGAACGTAGCTTAGGTGTGTGCAACTGTTAAGTTTGTGAACGTCCAGAATGATTGATTCGTTATTTCGATTTCATCCGTATACTCTCAGCTACAATTGGCCACAATATTGTCTAGGTGCACAGCGATCATAGCTGGGTACATTGTTTGTGGTCGGGAACCCAAAGCTTTTTTCAACCCGTTATCGGAAGTACAATTGGAAGAAGTTTTGATGTTCGTGTTCATGCGATTAATGAAAAGCAAGGCACGGGAAGCCAGAAACGTTTGCCTCCAACTTCATTTGAAGCCCCAACCAAGCCAGTATGATTCAATTCTGGCGAATCGAATCTGGCAGCGAGATACACGTACCGGTAGGGCAGATACGTTTGTGTCTTCCCTGGGTCACGCCTCGATTTCCTCCTACGTTTTTTATCTTCAAGAAGTTCTTGCGGTCACTTCATTGGTGGTAAGAACAGAGCTTTGTTGGGTATTGTCGTCTGTTGTTGCTTTGTCATTGCCTTGGAAGGGTTCCTTGCTCCTGCCCATTCACATTTGTGAATACCACTGGCGTTGTGGTGTTGAAAAGGAAACAGCTTTGTTGTTGTTGTGGTTGGTATATGGACTAATGTACAATGCCCAGGTGCCATAGCCTCCCATGTTGTAAGTGACACAGCGACCAATGGCCAGCAGGTATAGATCTACAAAGGTATCGTAGAACTCTGACGGCTTGGCCGATTTCGGAGCCTTGTCCAAGTGATAGGGTTGTTTGGGCGCTTTTTCTTCTGCTGTTTGTCGAGTGACTACTTGTGCACCCAGTTCCATTCCGTAGGCCATGCCCACAGCGAGTGCAACAGAAGAATCAGAACTCAGATAGAATGGACCAGCGGTTGAATGTAACTGCTGTTTCTCAAGTTGAGAGGCACAATGGATGGCATTGCGTGTCCAGTGCTCGATCATGGCAGGATCTCGCTCGCTGACCCCATACAGAGCTCGAATATGAATGCCCACGTAGTGACCTGGTACCATACCAGAATTTTCAAATTGTTGTTCGATACGTTTTGCCACGGCATGTGCCGGTGTAAACAGGACACGCCAACAAAGATGGTAGACTTGTTCAAACGTTGGTTCGTCGGGTTGTTGTCGTTGTTCATTGTAATACACACTCCCATGATCGTGTGCTTGGACACGGGCCTTGACCATTGCAAATTCTTCTGAGTTGGTTGTCAATTCTATGAGCTCTTCTATATTCGTGGCTCGGGGTCCTTGTCGGAATTCTTGTTGTTCGATGCAGCAATCAGACTTCGCCAATCCATGCTCCTGGTTGCAAAAATGCTTCCAATTCCGCTGGTCGACCCCATTTGATCAACAGCAATCGTCGACTCTTGTGTGCCATCAAGAGCATGACTGGGAGAGGCTTGAGTCGGTCAGCAGTGCCGCCACAACCGGCATGAATTCTAAAAATCCTAGAATCCTCCCAGTCAATCCGGCTGGGCATGCCACTCTATATACCGGCGCCCGGATCCGGCCTGGTTCGTGTCAAGTATATGCGTGGAAATCAACTCGTACCCCGACCCTAATTAAGCGCATCTGCACATCAATGAAGATAAAAACACGAAACCAAAAATACAGCAATCAATTGTCCTCAACGTGTGTCCCATACTAAAGAACGATCAGAATCCCCAACCTAAACAGCTGAAGTGATGGAT